AATAGTTTTGAAAAAAATTTTGGGGACAATATTTTATTTTACTAAAATTATTTTCAAAAGAAAAAAAATTACAACTAATTTCTTTTCCAATTTTTTTATCCATATTTTTCACTATATATATAGTCCATGGTTTTTAACTCAACTCAAAACTGGTCAAAAAAAGATTTGGAAAAAAAATGTTTGTGAATTTTATTTCCTAAATGTTTTCTCCAAATTTTTTTTTGAATCTTGTTAAAATGTCATGGAAAATGTTAAATATGCGTGCACTATTCGCTCAGAGCGTGACTGCAGCGCCGTAATAAATATGAACTAATTGTGGCTATCAGTGTGTGGTTTTCATGGGTTTTATATGTTTGTTAAAGAAAAAAGATATTAAATAATTGTTATAAATAACTAGCTGTAAGTGGAATTCTGTCTTAAGGCAAATTGCTGGTACTTCCCGTACCAAAAATTATTATTTTTTTAAAAACGATTAACATTTTTGAAAAAATTTTACTTCGAAAAAATAAAATTTGTGAGAAACTATAAATTAGACAAAAAATTACTTTTTTTTTGAAAAAAAATTTTTTTAGAAATTTTTTTTTTTTTTTTTTTTTTTTTGAAAAAAAAATGTTTTCTTTATTTTGACATATTTTGCAAGATCTAAACTTTTTTTCAAAGTAATCGTACTGCTTTAACTGCATAAAGAAGAAATATCAAAGCGCGTAAGCGCCGCGTCGCCGTCTAACGCGCAAACATTGGTACGGAACCCATAAGAAATGTAAACCAAATTTATACTTATTATTAAAATCTCTACAAAATATCTGATAATTTGATGTGCATATGTCTAATGATCATTTTTGACCGCCAAATGGCATTTTTTTTTACTTTTTTCATTAGATCTCCGAAACCGCTAGACCTGCCTTTATGAAAATTTGATCGGTTCTTCACCTTGTCAATACAAGTAAAATGTTTTTTGAATTATCAAAATCGGACGCTCCGTTCTCTTAAAAACTGAGTTACCGTTTTCGGCACTTCTTGCCCCGTATCTTCAGAACGGCTAGACCTGTCTTCACCAAAAACTAATCAGCACGTCTCCTTATCAATACGAATCGAATTTTTTTTAATTATTCAAATCGGTTGATCGGTGTTCCCGAAATCGTCGACGAAAATTTGTATCCGCACATACATACACACACGCACACACACACACACACACATACATCCATTTTTTTTAAGGTATGCCAAAATATTCAGAAACCTTTGAAACGTCGAGAAATGCAAAAATTTTCATTTTCGATTTTTTTGCGATTACTATAACTTGCCCTACGGGAAGTTAATAATGAACAAGAGACAGTAATAATGTGAACGCTGAATGTTTATTGAAATTATTAAACTTATTTCAACGTACTTAAAACATAATTAAGTATAATGATTAATTAAATAAAGAAATGCAGTAAACATTTTTAAGGTTAAGTGCCTCAAAGCTTATGTCATAATATCGGAATAGTTCTTAATAAAAATAATATAATAATGATAAAAATATTTTATCAATAGAATCAGTAAATAATAAATTAATTTACTCATTTTTTTATTATTTTTGGTCAAACTAAAGACTTACGATAGACATTATTATAAAGACATGATTTGATTCCATCATCCATCAAATAAAATTGCAGAAAAAAAAACTAAATTAACTCGGGGTTTGTAAATTGAAGGAAATATTGTTGGCAAGTAGATAGGACTCAATACCTCGTCCGATTTTTTTCCTCTAATGAAATGTTCACTGCAAATGCGATCATAGGGTTAGGAAACCCACGGCGGTGATTCATCAACACTACAAATATATATTTTGCATTATTTCAGCATTGTAACAATTAAACTGTTTGCAAAATAAACATTTTAGCGCTATGTGATAACTTTTATTTTTCTTTTAATCATAAAATTACAATTACTATATAATAAAATGCAATTAATATATAGATAAGAGTTATACATAATCAATATACAATATATAAATATATATTTTCCATTATTTCAGCCTTGTATTAATTACATTGTTTGCAAAACAATTTTTTCTAGTAAGAATTAAATTTTGATAATATAACTATTTATTGGCTTATAATTTTTCTTTTTGCTAAACATAACAATTTTCCAACTATTCATAGTACTCCGAATTGAATTTTTATAACAATAAGGTTATGATACTTACTTTATTCTTCTAACCACAGCGATCCACTTTTCCCGTTGATTTTCTTTCCACTTAGCTGTAGAAAATGTATAGAATTTGCAGTCACTTTTTCTGCTAGTATTTCTACAACCCTCTATGCAACAGCTTTGTTGGCTCATTTTTAATTATCTTATTTAAATTTGAAATAAACAAATATTTTATGTGTTTTTGTTTAAAATTTCGGTTATAATAGCTACATTTAATGCTCAAAGTAGCCACTACGAACGCTTCGGTCGATTTGACTTCCCCTTCCATGCCTTCGCAGATAGCCAAACATTTCCGATTTGAATACTATTCGTGGTATTCCTGGGCATCTTGAACCTTTTCAGAGTTATTTTGCTCGTAGGTGAATACTCGAAAATCTAGCAAGCAAAAACAAATCTCGCACAAAAATCTAGCAAGGTTTCTCGCATCGTGTATAGCGAACGGCTTGAAAAACTATCACGAAATCTAGCGTCGACATTCGCGACAACATCAAGCATGCTAGCCAGCCCGTAAAACAAGCGTCGTGGGAAAAGCGCTTTAAAGTTTATTACCAAATAATTAAACAAACAAATATTGTAAAATAAAGCAACAAGGAAATGCAAATATTCAAAATAATAAATGATTGTGATTTATTTTGTAAGTCGTAGACTATGGAGTTACATATAGACTCGACGGTGTTATTTATAAATAAGAGCTTAATTGTGTTGTCCTTCCATGACTATTGTATTCAGGGATATGCTGAAATAAAGTATATAAATAAAAAATGTACACTTTGTTACAGATCTAAAAAAATAAATACAAATAGAATTTTTCAATATAAAGTATATTGTATAAAGTATTTAAAGTCTAGACAAATTAAATGTTTTAAATTATATATTTCATAATTTTAGATATGATTTGGTTTGAATAAATAGGATATAACATTTATTTCAAAACTTTAATATTAGTATTAATCATGTGAATAAGAACATTCGACACCCTATTTTCGGACTAACTTTATTTCATAAATTAACAAATAACAAACGTTTTGAGACAGTGATTTGTCTCATCATCAATGTAAAATTTAAGAACACATATATATGAACACATTAGAAAATACTCATTCAAACTTTACTTTGTGTTTAATTACAGATAAACTAACAAGTTTCTGTCACAAACAAGTCATAAAATCACTAAATATGAAAAGAAGTAAATTAAAATAAGTGTCTAATAAATTTGAAAAAATGTTACGAATTCTTTATATTTATGTAAAAGTCATGAAAAATATTTGTATCAGTCCTTAAATTGTTAATACAAACTATTATATTATATTCATACACATTCACATTAATGATAAAAAAAATCTCTGAAAGCTTTAGCTCTTAATATTAGCTTTAAGATAGTCCCCACTTTGGAAGCATTCGAGTCCCTGGGAGAAAAGAAATTCAAAAATATATCATATTAAGAACCACCCTAATATATATATATACAATCCAGACAATAAATCATTTGCAATTTCCATAGCTTTTAATATATTAAGAATTCTATAGAATTTTTTGTCGATATGATTGTAATACACAAATAATTACTAACAATCGATCTTGAGAAGATCAGGTGCATTTTCTTTCTCTGTGCACTAAGACAGAAATGTCCTAATATTATCATTTGAGTTTGAGTTAAATTAAATACAGTAGAACCTCGTTTATCCGGACTTCAGTTATACGGATTCGCGATTATCCGGACTACCAACAGCGACAGAGTTATATGTATGTACATACCTAAAATTCGTATTTTTTAATGATTAATGCTGCAGTTTAGTATATGTATGTAATAAGAAAGTTCCAAACTCTCAATAAACATTAGTTTTGTTGATATCTATGTATGTATTTGTTATTTTTAATAAATGCACAACATTATTCTTCATACATTCGATTATCTGGATTTTTGATTATCCAAATGTCTATCGACAACAATTAGTCCAGGTAAGCCAAATTCTACTGTACTAGATTTTTATTGTGTTTCTTATATTTGACTAAATATTTCTAATATTTTCATTTACGTTCAAAGACGTAAATTCATATAAATCTTGATAATTACTCTCAGTTTTGTGGATTTTATTAATCAGAACCATAACCAATACTTAGTTATATGGTTTAGACAACAATAACCTATCTGCCCACTAAAACAGTTTATATATTTATATCTGTTTACGTTCAGCTTATAGACTGATTGCCTCCTTTATATTATTTTTATTATAATTATTGTTAAAAATTATTACCTGTGTTCTAATTTCATTTAGTTTTTTCTTTTATCGTTATAAGGTAATTTTTATACCATTGAGTGTCAACTGATTTGATGAATACAAAACAAGATTCCTTTATGATGCATCTCATTTATCGTTTGTCTAGTGCGTTTCCGAAGAATAAAGTTCAACGTGAATTGACATGATTTTTGTATATGTATAAAATTAATAATTGTAAAATTAATAAAGAAATAATCAAACATGTACAAAAAACATACAAGAAATAGTTTTCAGGTTAGCTTTGAATAATCAATAATAAGACAACCAGAGGTTATAAAATAGTGAAAATAAAAAATCAGCATTTGATAGCATAATGAATGTAGAACATTTTTCAATTAAGAACAAAATAACACTTAATATCATGTTAATTTTGGCTCAATTACAAATGTTTTCAATACACTAACAAACCTGTTGGATTTTTTAACTAGTTCTAGCATTAGCATTAATACACAGTTACACTGTCTTCTAGGTTCTAGTAGTTGTGTTGTTCATTTTTTCTCTTATTTGTCAAAACTCTAATGTCAGGTTTCCGCCGTTTTCACGAATCGTCGATAGGTGTAAGGCGATGTCACTTAAAAGTTATTACGCACCGCATTATTATAAATGGCAAACGTTTTTAGAAAATATATATGTGCGCTAACATGTCATGGCACAGTGCATGGTAAACTAAATAAACTAGAGATTTTTAGAAGGCAATTGCACCTCAGTGGACGTATGTAATTTTTTTTTGCAGTACCTCGTTATGAACTAGGTTAACTAAAATATATTCTAGATATGAAACATGGGGAGTACGAATGGAAGGACCCAAAGTCGCCGTCAGAAATGTAATTGAAAAGTTTGTAAGTACTTAATGTCGTAAATTCTAATGTAGTTCATGTTTTCAAATTGCAGAGTTAATGTGATTTTTATTAATAAGGATGGAACAAGGATACCTATTAAGGGAAAAGTCGGTGATAATGTATTATATTTAGCACATAGGCATGGTATTGATATGGAAGGTGCTTTTACACTAGTTCTTTAATATTATGGATTCATACCACTGACGGTGTTTAGGATTAATGACTAATAAAACTGTACATTGTCATCAATTAGAAACTTTATAACATCTTTATAATATTTATAGTGAAAGAAAGCTTACTTAATTTAATGTCATATGTTAAAGTAGTCATATTACCCCATTATTATAATTAGAGAAGCACATCCCAGTGGTTTGGATCTATATTTTTAAATATCAATCAAATAAAATAACATGTAATCCCAGGGGCATGTGAGGCATCTTTGGCTTGTACAACTTGCCATGTTTATGTGAGCGATAAACATAGAGATAGCTTGCCTGAACCTCTAGAGAAGGAAGATGATTTATTAGACATGGCACCATTCCTTAAAGAAAATTCTAGATTAGGTTAGTTCAATATTATGTCCATATTTGCAAAATAAAATAACATAAGTAATATATTACCAGGTTGCCAAATTATTCTAACCAAAGACTTAGATGGTATAGAGCTGCAAATGCCCCAAGCTACTAGGAACTTTTATGTAGATGGTCATAAACCGAAACCACATTAGTTTTATTGAAAACCTGTAAATAATCTTGTAAAAATAAAATTTAATATTCTAAAATATCATTGTAATATATTTTAAACTTACCTTTTTCTATTCATTGCTTAAAATAGCATTTAAAAAATACGAACATTTTACAAATAATATTTTAAGCTCCAGGAAAAAAATTGAATTGATGCAGTGAGGCGTGAGTTGTTGCCAGTTTAACCTTAATATATTAATTATTTTAACAATTGGCATGCGGGCATACTTCGCCGCCGAATTACGCGTGCAGCGGGCGATCCTTGAGCTGCATAAACTTGAAAATTGCAAACATATCCTGTGTCGCTTTCAGATAATGTAAGATAATATATTAGTACGAGTATAAGGTATTTTATAATTTTTCCAGCATTTTAGACTCTAAAACACAATCGTCCTCTCCAAGGAATTAAGCCCTCATCTAATGATACTTGCTGTTTCGGCTTGTAAATATTATTGAACATTTCAACGAAATAATGTAGTACAGGCCTAACTTTGAATAAGCGATAAAATCATTTGTGACGTCTTCATTATTATTGAAATGCCAAGCATTCCATATTTGGCGGAATCTATTCCTTGGCATGGTTTTTTGAAAAAAAAAAACGGTGTACTTGTGCAAGGATTAGTTGACCAATAATAGTCTTAGAACTACTCGAAATTCTTCGTCGAACGAACACTCGAGAACGCGAAATAATATCATCATCGTAACTTTCTTCGATATCTTGACGAAAATTCCGATAATATGTCAGCGCATATTTCTTCACCACAATCTTTGTCACAATGGCTCAATTTATAAATTTGTAATCATTTATACGTATTTAGTAGATTTGTAGTAGTTAGCGCGTATCCACCTCAAATCTACTAAATACGTATTTTTACGTGACCCGCGCCCCAGTGACAGACAGCAAAAAACGTAAAATTACGTTGCCCGCACTCTAAGTGTTAAGTTAATAGTTATTTATGAAACTTTGATATAATAAAAAAAAAATCTCTGTATCAAAGTTTCCCAAAATTTTTTAATTAAACAAATTGAAAACTACAATATACTAAATTGCATTTATTTAAATACATCTTCAAACTTACTATAAAAAGAATCCACTTATATCACATTTTAACATTTAACCTGTTTAAGACCAGCTTGCCTACTGGCTCTTGTCCTCACACAGTATATTTTAACTAGACTGCTTATACAACAGTGGACATGGTTAATATTAAAATGTACAGTAGTCCATTCACCAATCGTCAGACTCTGCCCAACGTACTATTCTTTTGGTGCTGTCCCCAAGTTTGAAATACAACATTCAATATGATTTTCAACATGATAAACTAATAAAAGTTCATCTTTGTCAACAAAAAAAACTGTGACAACTGACTAGATATTCTAAGAATGTCCCATACAGGCATCTTTATAATTTGTACTATTCAGTGACACAAAGTAGTCATCATGTATGTACCTGACAATGTATTCTATTGGACAAAAGTATGACTCTCGGCTCTGACCTTTTGAATCCTGTCGTCTATTCATAGTACTCTTGTCCCCTCTGCAGAATATCAACTTCTTTGTTACATCTTCACCATTATATAATATACGGAAATAATACTCTTTAGGCAAAACATCGGAATAAATATCAACATTAGATTGCCTTCGAAGATATGTTTCAAAAATAATACGTGAGGCATAAGGAACAAATAAAATATCATCTCCAAATCCCAGAGCTGTAGCCAAATATTGCAATGTTTTGTCATGACCAGAATAAACTATCAGCTTCGGTTTGTTATTTGACACAATGGCTAACATCTTTTGGACAATATTTTTTATCAAACCATAAGCTTTTAAGATAGAAATTATGTTATTATTTAGGCTCTGTAGTTGACGTTTTTTATCTTCATATAGGTAGCTAAACAACATAGAGACATGTTCAGGATTAATGCATTTTTCTGTGTCATCATTTTCATAGCTATTATTGTAAACATCCGTTAAATCATCGTAAGCTTCTACCCCCTTAGGTTTGTCATCTTGATCAATGTTAATTATATAATTGGATAACCTATTAAATTTTGAAATTCAGAATTTAAAGACAAACAAAGACAATGCATAATTGTTTAAAAACAAAAAAACTTTTATATGTACTTAAATCTTACTTATTTGTTTATATAACTTTTGAAAAATACTCATTATAAAAAATTGCAAAAAATATTTAAAATTTAAATGTTAAATTTAAAACTTAACAGTTTAATGTTGAATATGTCTAGTTTAATATTTTTTCTCGCTAATATCAATATTATCAAATATCATTCATGATTTATCAATATTTACTAAAAATATTTACTTAGGATCCATGGTTTGAAGTGATCGTTGGTGCGACATTCTCAAATTATTCCAATTGGATTGTACAAAATTTTTACATGGCAATGAAGCTTTGTGACATAAGAATGATAACAAAGCATCTCTTAAATCTGAGACGCTGGCATCTTTAGAATCAATCAGAGTATAACTTAAAAGTTTCACGATCTTTTGCATATGAGGCTGATTTTGAAAATTTTTCTTCAGTTCAAGTGCCAGTAGCCTGAAAATGATTGAAAAACAATTTAACTACTACAAACCAAATTAAAAAACTAAAGGTAACTAAAGAAAAATAATATAATGTAAAATAAAATTTAAATAAATTATTAATTATGTGAATCCTTACTTAATTCCATGATCAATTTCAAAAAGCTTAAACACTGCAAAACATCTTTACAGCTCTTGGAAACAAGAAACTAAAAAAAAAAAGTTGATAAATAATAAAATAAATTAGAATATCAAAAGAACCAATTAAAGCAACAGTATTTAAACATACTGTATTAAAATTAATAAATAAAAAAATCGATGACACAAGTGTGTCTTGCACATTAATTCCAATTTGGAAACCGGGCAATTTGTTTGTTTTCAATTGATATTTAAATTAACAACAGAATTGTGCAAATTCTTTTAAATCAACAGAAATCTACGGCTGCAAAAAATTAGGTATAACATGAAAGTAATTATTACTTTTTGTAATAATCAGATGACGGACAAGCACAATCAATAAAGCAAAAGGATATGCTCAAACTCTCTTTGACATTCAAATGAGTCCAAACATGATTTGGTACTATGTTGAACATCAATGCCATTGCTGATTGGAAGGTACGTCGATACTTTGTGCTAACAACAAGTATATCATCTGCTGTGAATGTCGATCCTTTGATTTCATTAGAATTAGATGAAAAAAGCACTTTACCATAAACATCATTCAAAACTTTTCCTAGTTTTAAATGCTGTGTGATACCTCTAAAACAAATATTTATTTATTGATAAATACTAATCTGAAACATATGAATAAAATAAAATACTTAATAATAATTACTTAAAAGTAAGCTGCCCAAGTTGACAAGAAGTTATACTTGAAGGCAACAGTGGAAAGCTATGAAATGCTCCTGGTTGAGGCCATAAAGTATGTGTCCAATTTGTTAAAAATTCCATATATCTAAATAAATTTTGACTTTGAATTACTATGATTTAAGACCACAATATTGATAATAGATATACATTGTTAGCAGCGGATCCTTAACACCACAATCTACACTTTCAATTCCATGGACATAGCTCAACGGACCACGATCACCATGACGAGATAAGACAATAACACCCTTTAATATAAAATCTTCATATCTGCCACCTACAATTAAACTTCTAAGGAATTAGCATTATAACATTTTAATTTCATATTACCTTCACTTTTAGCAACAATATCACTGAAGTCAGTACAGGATTTGAATATTTCGTTCAAATATTTACTTCTCACCATATTGGTTCTTGAGTTATCCGTAAATAAAAAACTGTTCTCAGAGTGCATCATCTCTACACCCATATATTTGTACATACCTACAATAACTGATATTATTATAAAAATATGATTATAATTTTTGTACTAGCAATCATTCATAATCTTCTTGCCTGCAATTATCATAAATATCCATATTGACAAAATGAGAAAACATAATAAAACCCTTTTTCGTCCTTTGAACATGTCTGTCAATATGAATATAATATATTATATTCTCATATTGTCTAGGATTTCTGCCAACCGCATCTAAAATATAAGAGCCAATCGGCAAGCGCTCATAAGACCCTTATTTGCCAATATTTTCCATCACTGATATTTTTAAATAACAAAATTTTCTCGAAAAAAAAAGTTCTGATGTCAACTGCTAGTGACCGCAATTTCAGGGCAATTTCGTCGATGTTTAGCTGTGTTTAGACCCGTGTTCCCCGTGTTCCATGCACGCACTGGATTAGCGTAATTATGTTGTCAGCTCTGTTCTTATACTGTCATGAAAAATGTCATTTCTTTGGAAGTATTGATGGTATTCCTCATAATAATGCTTATATTTATTGGCAAACCAAATACAAGTAAATGTTAGGTTAAAAAATATATTTTTTTGGGTTTGTGTTTTGGATTATATTTTTCAGAATACTAAGAGAATAAATAAATTATTACTGGTGGTAGTAAATTTAAGATACACTGTTATATATTATTGGTTCAAAGTACTAAATTCTAGTAAAATAGCGGTTATAGCAAAACAGAAGATTGTAAACAACTAGTATGTCTATAGAAATAGAATCAGCTGATGTCATACGACTCATTCAACAATATCTGAAAGAGTCAAATTTAACGAGAACGTTACAAACAATACAAGTGAGTTTTATTGACACTATACAAAAAGCATTAGACTAGTATCATTGTCAGTCCGACTATGAATATTTCATGATATTTTAACTAAGTTCACTTAGTAATATTTTCATTTAAATGCTTCCACACTAATACACTTATATGTATGCAATTATTATATTAAAACATGTCGTTCAGACTCTGAAATATTTACTCTGTTACTGGCCTTAATTTGTAATAAATTGTTAAGATTTTGTAAATTTTATAACAATTTTTTTTTTACCTTATGCATTATTGTAATAAGCAGGTTTAACCAGAAACAAAAATAACTTTATCCAAATTTCAGGAAGAAACTGGAGTGTCACTCAATACAGTAGACAGTGTAGATAGTTTTTGTTCCGATATTAATAATGGTCATTGGGATACAGTTTTAAAATCTATTCAATCCCTTAAACTACCAGACAAGAAGCTAATAGATCTTTATGAACAAGTAGTTTTAGAGTTAATAGAATTACGGGAATTAGGAGCGGCAAGATCTTTGTTAAGGCAAACAGACCCTATGATCATGTTAAAACAGCAAGAAGCTGAAAGGTACTTGCATCTGGAAAATATGCTGGCAAGATCTTACTTTGATCCCCGAGAAGCTTACCCTGATGGAGGTTCTAAAGAAAAGAGGAGGACAGCCATTGCTCTAGCGTTAAGTGGTGAAGTGTCTGTTGTGCCTTCTGCAAGATTGCTGGCCCTATTGGGTCAAGCCCTAAAATGGCAACAACATCAGGGTTTATTGCCACCTGGTACAACTATTGATTTGTTTAGAGGAAAAGCTGCTATTCGTGATCAAGAAGAAGAACAATACCCAACACAAATATCCAGACAGATTAAATTTGGGCAAAAATCCCATGTTGAATGTGCTCAGTTTTCACCCGATGGTCAATTTTTAGTTACTGGAAGTGTGGACGGCTTTATTGAATTGTGGAATTTTACCACAGGTAAAATTAGAAAAGATTTAAAATATCAAGCTCAAGATGATTTCATGGTCATGGAACAAGCTGTCTTGAGTTTAAACTTCTCTCGAGATTCTGAAATGTTAGCTAGTGGTGCCCAAGATGGACAAATAAAAATATGGAAAATTTCTTCAGGACAATGTTTAAGAAAGTTTGAAAAAGCACATACTAAAGGTGTAACATGCATACATTTTTCTAAAGATAATAGCCAAATTTTAAGTGCATCTTTCGATAATATTATTAGAATACATGGTTTGAAATCAGGAAAAATGTTAAAAGAATTTAGAGGGCATACTTCTTTTGTGAATGAAGTTGTTTTCTCACCTGATGGACATAATTTGTTAAGTGGTTCATCAGATGGTACAGTTAAAATATGGAGCATAAAAACTACAGAATGCATTAACACCTTTAAGGGGCTTGGCACTATTGAATTAACTGTGAATAATGTTTTACCCTTACCTAAAAACCCCGAACACTTCATTGTTTGTAATCGTTCAAATACAGTGGTTATAATGAACATGCAAGGGCAAATTGTTCGTTCATTCTCATCAGGAAAGAGAGAAGGAGGTTCATTCATATGTGCTGCTTTATCTCCAAGAGGTGAATTTATATATTGTGCAGGTGAGGACTTAGTGTTGTATTGCTTTTCCATAACATCTGGAAAACTAGAAAGAACTCTTAATGTACATGACAAAAATGTAATTGGACTTTGCCACCATCCACATCAAAATTTGCTGGCTACCTACAGTGAAGATGGTTTGCTCAAACTATGGAAACCATAAACCTTCAAGACTTATTACAGATAATATATTATAAAACGAACAGTCTATTGATGGGTATACATTTATTTTTGTTGTTGAATGATTCTTATCGATCCAGAATTGTTTAATGGAAAACTATTTTGTCCATAAATTGCATAATCTAAGTATGCTATACGAAAACATGTTTTCTAAATATTTTTATAGTTTAAATTTTTGAAATAAATGTCACCACACAAAATAAAATTGTTATTTATGTATACATAAGTATTTTATACCTAAATTTCTAATAAATTAATATTTTGATTGTTTCTGCTTGTGCACTGCCTCAATACATTTGGCCATAGTTGGTGAAGCCCTTGAAATTACGTCTGTCATATAAAAATCTTCCAATACTTTCTGTTTAACATCAAGTGGTCCTTTTACATCAGTTTTAATTTGCTATAAGAAAATAACAACATTGTATGTTTGCATGTTTTGTTATTTATATATTGTATTTACCATATTTAACTCTCGTGCTTGTTGGAAAAAGTTGTTATGTTCTAAACCACCATATCGAATTAAGTGTGGGGCAACTTCTCCAAGCCTGTTGCGGACTTCATTTAAGTTGTCATAGGGCAATGGCATACCTATGCAAGTAAAATGATTAAATCTTAGTCTTTCATTTAATATTCAAATACAAGTTATTCAAAAGACAATTTGCATCACGATTCATCTGCTAAAAATAATGCATTATATTGTAAATAATCATGTCATACATCTTCACTTCACATTCATTTAGTTAGCTGACAAAAGTTTACATTTGTTCACATAATACAACTATAATGCATTTTGCATCATTTTAAATTACTTCTTAATGATGTATAAATTTAGCTCAAAGAAACAGCTTCCGAAACAGTTAATAGTTTATTACCAAACAACACTTTTTTCTTTTAATGTGATTGAATAATTGTATTCTCTAAATGTTCTTACCCAAAACCTCACTGATTGCTCGAATTATTTTCCAATCTTCTCTTGCCATTCCTGGTGGTGATACAGCCATATGTGTCTGCTGGGCTCGGCCTTCTGTATTAACATATGTGGCTTGCTTTTCTGTATAAGCAGCTCCAGGTAAAACACAGTTGGCAATAGAAGCACCATAATCACCATGGTGACCTGAAAAATTTAATAGTTTCAATATTATTTCATATTATGCCCACAAAATTGTATATTTTGATAATTATTTAATGCCTTGATAGATTATGAAACAATCTGCTGGAAGATCTTCTTTCTTCAGAGTTTTTTCATCAGCTCCATATAGGAATAAAACTTTCGGCGGATTTTTGCGAAGTTCTTCTACTCCTGCTTTATAGCCAATGTCTAAAGCAGTTACTTGTCCTTGATTTCTTTGCAAAATGTTCAGAACTTTCCAATCCGGCTGTGAAGTTATCATAAGTTGAAAATGCTTTGTATTTGATCATTTTAAAAATTGAACACTAGATTTACAGACAAAGTCAATTTGATACGTTTAAGATCTTTTTATATCCCAATAACTGACATTGAAATGTGTCTTTCTTGAATACTCATTTATTACAATTTATTCATAATGCCATTTTATAGATCAAGTGAACAAAACACTGATTTTTTTTAATATAGAAAATGACTTGGATTTTAATATTCAAAGTCTTCAATTTCAAAAATTCAAAATTCACTTATACACTTGAAATAAATTACTTTGCAATTCAGTTAATATAATATTTAGAAGTATGAGATAAGATTCTGTAATGCATATTAAATTGTGAAGTTTTGTTTATTTATTTTTCTTGTAAACATGTATAAGATGTAAGATTTCTCGTCAGATTTATAAGCACTTATATTTTATGTATGAAATATGAATAATGAATGCTACAGTATTTATAATAATATATTTGAAGACATTTAAAACAATGGTTATTAATTATTAATGAATTTTTGTTGATGGTACGGAAAGTTCCAGCAATTTGCCTTAAAGTACAGTGCCATGCTAATAGTTCATTTAATTCTTTTTTTCTCCACACTTTCGATTTATAGATAATCGATATGTAATCTGATGATTGAAACTTGTAGTAGAAAAATTAAAAAAAAAATGGATACAAATGTCAACTCCTATGAGCTATAATGAGGTAAAATATATATTGCTAAAAAAAAGACTATAATAAGCAAAAGCGATTGCCTTTAGATTGCAATGCCTATCAAATAATTTGATGTAATAAGTAAGGTAAGTTTAAAAAGATATGTAATATTCTGTTTTACATGTTATATTAACATGTTAGTGCAATTTTCCCAAAAAACAATAACAGGCATGTAAAAAAATATTTAAATGATATTACAACTAACTAAATATTATTATATAGTTTCACTTTGTACTATATTATATAGAAAAGTTAAACAAAATACTTACTTCAGCCGCTGTACAAAGACCGGCTAGCTTCTGAACATCTTTCAAAATGGCACCACCATCAGATCGTGCCAATTGATCCGATCCAACAATAATTAAAGGACGCTTAGCATTTGACAACTGTTTACTAAATGGATGTGAGCCATTAGCTAATTTCTCTAGCACATCAGGTGAATCTCCTAAATTCTAAAATACGTTAAATTACTGTTAAAAAAAAAATTCGTAAAATTTTCTAAATATTTGAAAAACATTATGTTACATCATGTTGGTATGACAAATCCACTTTGGGTCCAATCATGAAAATATTTGTTTCATTATGTACATATCCTTTGCGAATTCTCGTATTTAATAATGGGGCTTCATATCTTGGATTAGTACCAACTAATAAAACAAGATCGGCTTCTTCAGCTCCTGCAAATCATTTATTGAGCATCCATATATATTATAGTTTATTGGCATAAAATCACAACTTACTTGCAATAGAATTATTCAGTATATAATTTGATCTCAAATCTGTGCCGGCACCTTCTGATGGAAATGATTGTTCAGTGTATAAATTTTCCGATCCTATTTTATTGAACAAGTCTTTGAGTGATACCAATGCCTCTGCATCAGCAAGACCACCAGCGACTGCAGCAATCTTCAGAAATAAAAATTTAGCATATTATAAAGTAAATAATTATTTAAATAAAATACAATACCTTAAAAATAAAACTTATTATAACAAAATGACAACATGTAACTGTGTCAATACCTGGCATGGCTCCACACCTTGCAAGGCTTTACATACAGCAATAAGTGCTGATTCCCAATCAACAACTTCTAATTGTGATCCTGATTTCCTTAACATGGGTGTGACTAATCTTTGTCGTTTAAGACCATCAATAGCAAATCTAGATTTATCGGATAACCATTCTTCATTAATTTCCTGCAATAGATCATTAAATAATTTTCTATAATAGTTGAAGAAATATATGGAATAGAAGATAATAAAAAGTGCATAAACAAGATTATTAGCATTTAATACAAATTCACTCACTTCAATAGTAAACTAGTAGATATAATTAAGTTATCACAAGATATTTCAAAATTAGAATTATTAGTTGAAAAACATTTCAAAGAATTTCAGACTATAAAATAATGAATTATTATCGTTATGATATTTTACACCAAATATATTCACCTCATTAGTTCTTGGTAAAACTCGTAAAACTTCCCCAGATCTTGAGCTAACAACAATATTGCTCCCTATAGCATCTAAAATATCAATAGAATCGATCCGGCGAGTTTCCCAAGAGCGAAAAGTAAACCTGAAATGTATATTTTGTACATTGAAATGAACAGTTCATATCTATAGTTCAGGAGTAAACATACGCTGTAGGTTTCGACGTTAAAGCACCAACAGGACACAAGTCAATAACATTACCAGATAATTCAGTCATAAAAAGTTTTTCCACATATGTGCCAACCTATAATTTAAGATTTTTTCAAATTAATTGAATATTATTAATATTTAACACTATGACATAATCTTACTTGCATGTCGTTTCCACGACCTGTAGTACCAAGATCATCTACACCAGCGACTTCTGAAGCAAATCTAATGCATCTTGTGCAATGAATACAGCGAGTCATAACTGTCTTTACTAATGGCCCTAGTTGCTTATCCTCCACTGCTCTGTAAATTATTTAAATATATAATATGAAATAATAAATATAAGAAAAACATACTTACCGCTTTCCTGAAAAATTTATATCAGTGAATCGAGATCTGTCTGATCCAAAAGCCATTGCTTGATCTTGTAAATCACATTCACCACCTTGATCACAAATGGGGCAATCTAAAGGATGATTAACTAATAGGAACTCCATAACACCTGTAATGTTATGTAAATTCATGTTTTATATTAATAAATATTATGCAATTAAAACTCCAATCCACTTATAAATACTTCAAAAAGCATGTATAAATATCCAACAAATTACCTTCTCTGGCCCTCTTTGTCATAGCTGATTCAGTTTTAATTCTCCACCCCTTCATCACAGGCATAGCACAAGCAGCAACTGGTTTGGGGCTTTTCTCAACTTCTACCAGGCACATACGACAGTTGCCAGCAACAGCCAAGCGTTCATGATAACAAAATCTAGGAATTTCCACACCAACCATGGCTGCAGCCTAAATTTATTCGTCACGATAATAAGTATCAGGAAAAATAAAATTAATTGTACTTTATCAATGTTTACTTGAAGGACCGTTGTGCCTGGTTCAACCATGACAGGTTTGTCATCAATAAATACTTCAATTTTTTGTGGCGCTTTCGCAGGAACAGGCGCAGCAGCCGATAAATTGCGGGGTGTTGCCATAGAAGCCCCCTTTCCGGGAGCTCCTAAGGCAAGCGCTTTTATTAAGGGAGCTCTCAACATGTCCTTTAAATTATTATATAATATTAAGATATAGGTTAGGTGATGTTTGACGTAAGATGTATCAATTTAATATGAATGAATATAAAAATTAATTAAAAACATAATACACCACTTCTATAAAATATCACAGATATCTACTTGACATTAAACAACAATTAAACTAAATACCTTAAAATTGTATTATCAACATTTCAAATTTCAATAGAAGGTAAGAACATAGAGGCATTGAGATATTGCAAGAGTATTCAACGCGTAGATTAATGCATAGATGACGTTGAATAAGTTGGATTGAAAGTGTTGCGAATCCGTTCAAGAATTGGTATCAACTCTCTGTTCTAATATGTTGATAAATGTTGCATTTGAATTTTGAAGAAGGATATGATGATGATGATGAGCCTGATCCGTCTAGAAGATAATAAAAAGAATATATATATTTATATATATATTATATATTGTTGTGATCTAACGCTTAATAAGTTAATATTAATAACTAATAGATTAATAACTATAATATACACTACGGTATAAATCCTATTCTCATTACATTGTATGAACTGATATCAATGAACTGAATACGATGCAGTAATTCCCAGGACACTCGATCGAGGAATAACGTAACGTAATTTGCACTCACAATCAGGCATATAAAAGAAATTCAGTTGATCATATTCTAAATCAAGGGAAGTCCCGTTACTAAAAGAAAATAAAGCATAATTGTTACAGAAAGAGGCAGTTGCGCAACTTTCGTCTCAGTGACTACATCTCAGAGTATATAAAAGTGCTAGGAAATAAATGAATATATGATAAGTATTGTGTTTAATTTGAACTAATATTAATTACTAGCATAACATCGAACGAAATTTGTTGATGAAGAGGAACGCTAATCGAGCTCCAACAAAATATATATATATATATATATATATATAGATAAAAGAAGTGTATATATATATATGTGTATATATATATATATATATATATATATATATTATTAATTAGCTTAATCCGTTCCGTAAGCACGCTCGCGTGTCGAATTGCACGTATAGCAATTTTTTCCATATAAATACCTTGAAATGCTATTAATTCGTTTCCAGCACATTGTTTTTATTAATAATGCAGAAACAAAGCGAATTTCTAAAGAAAAAATGACTAAATTATTATTATACTAGTTGTTGAGTTTAAAACAACAAAACAACTATACATTGAGCACTATTTTCTTCAACTCATTAAAGTATTGCGAAAATGAGCTGAACATGTCTCGTCAAACAACTCTGATGCTCGACCAGCTGCATCTTTTGCGGGATAACTTTTATCCACGTACTTTTCAACTTTCACACATTGCGCAAACAAATTCATAAAATGTATAAAATTAATGAAATGTTTTTACTCATTTTCAAAAAAATTACTTTTAATATTTGTAAGATAGTCAAATACGACTTCACATACGAAAACCCTTGTTACAATTGCTAATAAATTAATCTGTTTCATTCAAACCGCCATAAGTTTACGTTATGCCTCTCCTTGCACACCGCATTATACAATCTACAAATATTTAAAGTAAATTATTTTGATGTTAAAAAATTTAAATCAATAATTTTATTGTTACACATTTGTTTGTGCAATGTGGGACAAAAGTTGTAAAGTTTGGACAACATAATATTAAACGAATTTATTTTTATATTTGATAATTTATATTTCTGCACACCTTCTTGAAATACATGCTTCTATAAATTAACTAAAAAATGCTTTAACTAAAGTTGATTTGGAGCTATTTGAATTCCATGCAGTGCATTCAAAAGATAACAACAAAACCATGATCGTACTCAATGTATTTTCAAAAATATACTACACAACAAATTAAATTAATTAATTTTGTTGATCGTTGTTAAATTATACTTATTACCTCAGTGCTTTGGTAATGTAATTAAATATAAATGTTTATATCTGTAAATGTGATACAATCTACTTAACAATAATAAAATTATACAAAATCCTTATGATACAGTTGAAAAGTACTATACAAAATTCAATATTAACATTATTTACAAATAGAAAAATCATCTTAAGTTGAATCTTATAATTACATACATCATAATCAAACTAAAACAACGAATAATCAAATTTGTTATTCAGTTTGGTTCTTAAGATCAATAAATGAACGCGATTTACATACATCATAATCAAATCAAAACAACTGATAATCAAATTTGTCATTCAGCTTGGTTCCTAAGATCAATAAATGAAGTCAAGTTAACAAATCACTAATTTATAAAAAAAATACAGCTCCAATTACTCGTTTGACATTCGTTCATATGCATATAGAAGTAAATGCATTTCATTATATATCTTTTTTACTTATATTCAACAAAAGAACAAATATTTGTAAAACATTACAGTATTAGTTATACCATCAAAGATATAAAAATAAAACTAAATATATTTTGTACATTATGACATACACCTTTTTATTTACAATTATCTAAACTTAAATATGCATAATTATATTGATCCTACACAAATCAGTAATCGGTCTTATTAAGTAATACATATCAAATTTTATTGGCATGCATCATTTAATAAAACAACAAAATTAAGTGCATAATTAATAAGAAAATATCTAAAAATAAATAAAATACATTTTTATACACCTTGCAGCATTTTGAAATGTGTATTACATACACATACACACACACACATATTCAACTTCATACAAACACACATTCATTTATAAATGTATAATCAACTCATAATAAACAGGACTCATACAAGACTCAACACACATTATACATATACACATAGTATGTACTCATCATGGTTGCCGCCGATATCTCCACCTACCTACATCACCTAGAAAAACTATTTACAAATGCATAAAATTGTGTATAAATACAGAAATAAATCAAAGAACAACCTTATGCATTGAAAGGATGAAACTTACACATTTGTCTATCCATTTAGTTACAACAGTTAGTGAAAAAAGTTTCATCATTTACAGGTCTGCATTAAAGAGTTAGTTGATTTTCACATTCCAGTGTCTGTTTTCAATTTTAGAAATATTACATCCTATTATCAATTTCATACAAGCATTTTGAAGTTTTATACTTTACGCTTACATAAAGTCGAAAGACCACAAATATATCAAATGATGGCAAGGCAATGTTTAAAGGGACTAGCAACATGTTTTACTATAAAATATACATCTAGTCAAATTTATGTTGAAGTTAACATATCAAATATTCCGATATCTTACATTTAGTCTGCATTTTACCAGATGATAACTGATATCTGCGGCATTCCCATATGCAATGTGTACACATATTGTACATAAATATCACAAACAAAATTCAATTGTACCATTTCCCAAATTTCACTTATGCACAATTTGAGTCATAATTATACACAAATGATCAATTAGTTAAAGAATATATATATATATATATATATATATATATATATATATTATAATCAGGATATAAATAAATTATATATATATATATATATATATATATATATATAATGGTATATCATAATATATTAATTTAACGGGTGTTCTGCCCGAGAGCATGTCTGTGAGCTTCTGTTCAAGTAAAATCTTAACTCAAATCATGGAAGTACTCATACATAACATAATATGCATATTTATATAATAATGGATGATCAGTTTAATCTCAACATGTATTAGGAAATAAAGTGATTTACCACAGTCGCAAATTATTGAAAAAATATTTTTGATCTAACATAGTCTTTGTGGTCACAAGAACAAATGTTTAGCCACTGCACGGCTACATACAAATATATATATATATATATATATATATATATATATATATATATAAATGTGTTTGTGTGTGTCTGCATGTGTTTGGTTAGAATATTCACATAAATGCATATGCATATACACACATTACATAAACTAGCCATTGAGAATATAAATATTTTTATTAAATACTTTCAATAACGTACTTTAATAATTTTTTTCTAGAACCTATTTCTAAAATTCATACATGTAAGTCATTACAAAACAAATATCATACGCATGCTATATACAATTGTATATGCATTTTATATATATATATATATATATATATATATATATAAAATTAAATATACACAAAACAAACAATTTGAGTTCTAACTTGTGCAGCAGTTAAATATTTGATAACAGCTCACAGACCAACGTTAAAATAACCTGAAAATTTCACTGAAATTCACTGACTTATTTACACAATTTGTTAAGCAGACCAAAACTCTACAATAGGCATTGTCTTTTAGCGAAAGTATTTTCAACAAGTGAAGTTTGTTCTGTTTAAACATAAATCAGGCACACACAATAATTTTTGAAAAACAGTCGTCCAAAATGTTCACAGCCCTTTACGGATTTGTCATATTAGGGCCTCTTCTCTCATAGTCTCTTCGGTAGTCGCGTTCTGGAAAATCTGGAATGCCTCTCCATTGATCAGGTGGAAATCTATCACGATATGAAGACGAAACATCACCTGAATAACTGTAAGCACCAGAAATACTATTGTAGTGAGAAGAATAACTCACTGTTCCAGGATGGAATCTATAAAATATCAGAAAATAAAATAACCACTAATGATAAGCAATATACTGAATTATAAGCTACAAACTCAACAATATATAATATACTCTTAAAAAATTACCTACATGAAATTATGAATTAGTATTACAAACTTGATAATTCAGATATTTATGACATATATATATATATATATATATATATATTTATATATTAAATGTTAAATATGAACAATACAACACGTAGATTTTTAACACACACTTTATTTGGTAATTACGTTTCGAGACCATGGTATGCCTCAAATTCAGTGTAATTTCACAAACAGTTACTTATATACTACACATTCTGTAATATTTTATTTAAATTACATTTAATTTTTGATAATACAACAAACATGGCATGGCAGAATCAATGTTAATAGTTCGGACTAACAATAGCGTAAATCTGAAAACCAACACAAATATTTTACACGACTCTTATATAAACATCATTAATAATTTATAATTTTTTTTCATTTATCTTATTCTCTTCAATAAATTAATCTGTTTTCACATTTGTTGATTTTAGTATGCGATCGGGCACTCCATTTGTTTACATTATAATAATACCCATCCTGTTTCTTCATCACGATACTTAAGATTTGTTTCAAATACTTCACATGTTTTAGTACTGTGTCAAGCTTTGCAAGTAATAGTTGGTGTTTTTTGTATTATCAAAAATTAAATGTAATTTAAATAAAATTAGTAAAGAATGTATAGTATATAAGTAACTGTTTTTGAAATTACACTGAAGATGAGGCATACCATGGTATGTAAAAAGAATAATGATAATTTCATTTGACAAAAATTTGAAAAGTTAAGTAATTTCTGCAACGACTTGTGTATAATACACTGCCCGAGGCTCATTTGTAATAATAATAAATGGGCCTCAGACAGTCTATTATACACACAATAGTGATTACCATATGATCTTGCCTATAACGAAGTTTTGCTGAAATAGGGAAAGCCAATAGGGACGAGGGTTTCTATGAAAGGGACCTTTCATGCAAAAATAATGGATTTCTTTTTCCTCTACCTAATATTTAATATTTCAATTTAACAAATATATGTTTTAAGGCCAGAAGCAGTAGCGATAGTTACAATACAAAATCAGTTGAATCTGGTGTTAAATTTATATGCGAAATGTATTGTACAATACTTGGACACATTATTTAACTGATTTACATTCAAAAATTATAGAGCATAATAAAATATTGATTAATTAAAGTTATATTAATTATAGCATGCTGTAAGTATGTGTAATCCCATACATTATAAAAAATATACCATAAATAGGAATTTAAAGCATAAATATTAATATTTTTGATAATCTATTAAAAAAAAAAACTGTACACAGAAGTATAAAATAACGAGAAATGGATAAGTGCCCAAAATTAAATATTTTTGGACAATTTGCAAACGAAATATTCAAGTTTATTGCAAATACAAGTTATTATGTAAGCAACTAAAGCATTCAACGTACATAAAGATATCAACATAAAAAAGATTAAATAAAAAATATGTTGACTGGATTTTAATAAAAGCCACAGCAAAACGAGGCCGAGCATGCTAGTATATATATATATATATATATATATATATATATATATATATACACCTAAGTCTGTTTTTACACGGTCTTTTTGTACACGGTTTTGATATAACACGGTTTGAAAATTGAATATTTTTAAATTTTTTACACGAATTTATTCCATTTAGCACGATTTGAAATTTTATGTACCTAAATTTTTTTTGTCAAATTAAATTTTTGCGAAGTATGTTCATATCACAAAAAAGTATTTATGAAAGAAAAAAGTCTGAAACCATCGATAGTATCGATAGTTTGCAAACACTAGCTTAAAGATCTAAGTGAATTCCCCTTTAGCGCGTACAAACAATTTTTACTGGTCAAAGCAAATGTGAATAGCACTAATTTAATTCTTGTTCTTAAAAATTCTTGTTTTTCACCAATTTTAATAGGTTTTAGAGATTAGGAACAAATCACCCATTTTTGTATAAGATCAATGTCTTTTTTTACACGTTTTTTTTTTTACACGGATTCTTCTGGAACCAATCTCCGAGTAAAAACAGACTTAGGTGTGTATATATATATATATATATATATATATATATATATATATATACTCCGCGCTTCGAAGGTGTTATATCCACTTTTGACGACTCCGACAACTTCGTAACCTAATACTCAGCACAAATGTGTTGATCATATATCTAAGGATTTATTAAGTATTTGAAAATTGTTTACAAACAGTTCAAACATTTTTGTTCATATTAATATAAAATGTTACTATTTGATGCATTTCAATTTTCATACAAATCTCACATTGTATGCTAAAATTAAGACAATAAAAATATTAAAATATCAGGGTAATTTTTTTGCTATGAAAGATCCACTGGACCAAACAGTTTATGAATAAATAAATGTCAATGAAATAATAATTTTAAAAAATACCAATATATGTCTGATTGTAAAAATGTTGGTCAACCACACAATTGAATCAAAGGCTCATATTTTTTGCAGTTTTGAACAAAGTAAAATCGCAAAACTTGAGAATCAAAATCAATTTTATAATTATTTTTAAAAAGAAAAAATAGATGAAATCTCACCGATGACTATAATTTATGCATTTGAACTGATCACACTTGAATACAATTTCGTTCTTCTGTATTTTTGCAGTTATATTTTTTTTTACTTTATGGAAAATACAAAATGGTATTATTTTGGGTCATTTTATACATAGAAAGTCATAAAATTGGCTGTGAGATGAGAAAGCGACCGCTTCTTTTGACGCAAATCTTTGTATTGGTAAAAAAAACAAGCTAATGTCTGTACATGTTAACAGATCTAGAACCAGTTTAGAAAGGTTGGATATTAAGTACCACCCAAATATACATATACATATATACAAATATTCATGTACATACATACATACATACACACACACATATATATATATATATATATATATATATATATATAATGTTAAATATGAACACACTACACTTGATTTCGTTTGCACACACTTTATTTCATAAATTACAGACTTTTCGAGACCATGGCATGCCTTACAGTAAAAGTTTCTAACAGATAAATTCATTGAAGAGATTATAAATTCATTAAGAAAATAATAATCTTAATGTCTTCAATGAATTTATCTGTCTTCACATTTGTTGATTTTAGTATGCGATATGCGCAAGACTCCTTTTGTTTACATTATAATAATTCTATCCTTGTCCCTTCAGCTTTTAACACATAAGATTTGGTTTTCAAATATTTCTATAATTCCCATATTTAGAATAGTGTCAAGCATCGATAGAAAAAGTTGTTTCATTTAAAAATTAAATATAATTTATAATACAATTTGATAATGTATTATTTATATTGTTTAGTTATATACATTAGTATATAACTAAAGAATATAAATCAGGTTTGGTATTCTTTATAATGATTAGTTATATGCTTTTCACTGTTAGAAATTACACTGAAGATTAGGCATACCAAGGTCTCAAAACATCTGTAATTTATAAAATAAAATGTGTGCAAACGAAAAGGAGTATAGTGTGTTCATATTTAACATTATATATATATATATATATATATATATATATATATATATACCATAATTGATAATACATAAAAATGTCAAAATATCAGTATTTTTAGTTTGCAAATCAGATGATTTTTTCTAAATAGTTGTTAATTGTTCTTTTTGCCAGAAGATCAAATTTCATAATTATTTCATGAACAAATATAAAAAATTGAAACCTTCTCTTATCCCGATCACGATCATGATCTCGTTCTCTGTCACGTCTGTAGCTAGAGGCATGCATTCTATAATCTGCACGATCTCTTTTATGATCACCACCGCTATTGTATCTGCAATGAAAATGTAACTTATATAATATATAATTTATATATATTTATATGTCAAAAATTCTTATTTATTTTTTCACTAACATGCTTTGTTACAAAGTAATAATTTCTTTGGCATGCTTTTGTTTGTGTTTAAGGGGGGAAGTCCATATAACATTCTCAAGAAGTTGATTTTTTTTTTCGATAATCTGCAAGTATAGTATGTTGAGCGTATATTGACGAGTCGAAAAAAAATCTCATATATTAACAAAGTTATAGCTAACATAACGGGGCGGGCCGGAGTACGCATTGTCAAGCGATCAAGCGTATTGTTAAGTTTCAAGTGAAAAGGTCTCTTCCATTATAATGACTAGAAATACTTTTTTTGTCCTACAACCGGAAGACTACTATGTACCTTAGTACATGTGTAATATTGTTATAAGAACAAAAATTAGTCGAGAAATATAGTTAGTTTAGCTGGAAAATTCGTAGTGTTCAGTCCATTTCAATACGTAAAAATGCCGAAATATATAAAAGGTAAGCGAAGTGATATTGCACAAAATAACACTAAAAAAGACGTTATCAGGGCAATCAGTTTACTGATAAAACAGGTGAAAAAATTGACGCCAGTACAAGTCATAATGAAAGTGCCAGTGGTCAAGATCCTCTAGATGTAATTTTAGCTCCATTACTTGGTAAAGAAATGAAACAGCATCTTTCACCAATTTATGAAGATTTGTCCAAAGATGATTTACTTGAACGATGCCTTGGTGATCATACGCAGAACGCGAAGGAAAGTTTCAACGCGACAGTTTGGCGACTATCACCAAAACACTCACATTTTGGACTAAGGGTAGTTGAAATTTCACCATATATTGCAGCTAGGATATTTAATGAAGGTTTTAGTTCAATATTAAGAATAATGAACCTTCTGAATTTGACTGTTGGTACTTATGCTGAAGCATATGCTGATAATACTGATGAGGCGCGAATAACTTGACAGGATCGTTGGAGCCTTTCACAAGTAAAAGATGCTCGTACAGCTCGCAAACAACAACAACTTACAGAAAATCAGCTTTTTGAAGATAAGAAAGGACTATTGTATGGTCATTTTCCTTTACTAAATCTTTAAACGCGATTATCTTGAAACTGTATTTTTAAAAACTGCTCGTGTTGTAACTCAAAAAGTTATGTATCGATATGTCTGAAATTCGGTGAGGCCTTTCTCTATATTATTATTGGAAGGATAAACCTAAATCTTTAGATCTTTCGCGTTGATAATGTATTTTCTGGGGTCCAAAATGTCAAAAAATAGCCACAAATTCAGATTTTTTTTTTCAAAGGCTTGTTTTTCATTGAATTTTATACTTTTTTTAAAATTTTATAGGTTTATCCTTTCCATTAATATGTTCTCAAAAAAAAAAACATTTTTTTTTTTTTCAGGTCGATGGTTGATGAATGAGAAATGGAGCAGTTTGGGACCTCGCGCCGGAAGCAGTCCACAAAAAGTTATCCTGAGCCGCCATTTTGAAAAAAAAAAATAAAAAAAATATTTTTTTGTACTCTAAAAGGGTTAAATAAAGTTTTGTTAAAGTTTAAGAACAATAAAATAATTCCATCACGTTTAAAAATATTTTCAAAATATGACCTATTTTTATGCGTCTATATGAACCCCCCTTAATCTTAATGTATTAATTGCTTGTGTGTTTTATTTCCACTAAAGAAGTGTCAAATTGGGACTCGAAACGTATGGATCTATTAAATTTATTTCAAGAAACATATCTTAGTTTTCTTTCTATTTATTATCTGGATGGATGCCTGTTAACCCCTTAGCTTACGAATTAGATTCGAAAATGTTGGGCCAAAGTTGTACAATGTACAATGATGTTTCCCACACAGTGTACAGTTTATCAAAAAATAAAAATAATTTTGTATTTTACAGTTTCATACGAATAAATATTTTGTGATACTTGCGATTATCGTACGCGGACTATGTACGTACGCGGACCCTGCTACTCATTGTAAGTTAAGGGTTTTTTGTTTGATCAATACATACTTGCTTATCTTATATATATAAAATTCTTCTGTAATGTTGTATGTGAAGATAATCCTCATAAACGATTATTCGGATTTTAATAAATCTATCTTTTGTTAAAGGAAATTTTCAGGATGCAAATGATTATAAAAATATAGTAAAATTGTAGAAAATAAATGGAAGAAATTGCAAAAAACGACATGTCATTGAAAATAGTTTGACAAATAAGAACTGTCACCTGCCAGAAATTTCAATTCACTTATGAGCCTAGACAATATTAGAATATTATAAAAAACATGTAATGTCTACATTATTATTGCCAAAAAGCAGGTGAGATGTACCAGAAATTAAAATTATATAAGATACAGTATATGCTGGCAGATAAAATTATATAATTCAATTTGGCAGTTTTTTTTTCAACTAATGCAGTTGTGTTTTGCCTTACTTTACTAAATCAGTACCTCTCACGGCTCCACCTTTCTGATCCAGCAGCTTCTCCATATAAACTATGCCTAGGGTCTCTAAGATCTCCATAAGGCATCATCCTTTGGGGAGTGACAGGAGTTACACTTCTATTTCCAGGACAACTTTTACTATTAGCTACCCAATCACCAGAAACAGAGACCTTTGCATCATCTCTGCTCTTCTTGTGGTCTGAACCTTCTTTACTTCTTATTCTGCCAAATAAATTAAATATTGTGAATAAAATCTATTAAGGCAGTATGCTTTAGAGAAAAAAAAAAACGTTTTTTTTTTTTTTTGCAAAAATGCCTTCCAAAACTAGCCAAGAACATATACCTAAAATTTCAGAAACAAATTCAAATTACTTTTGGAGTTACAGAAGAAATAGTGTGCAAGCGTCAAACATGTATGCGAGCGTAACGAAAACTTCTCCGCGCAATTTCTCAGTTTTTAATTTTTTTGATTCTTCCTAATTGGCAGGAAAAATATGACAAAAACTAGACATCCTATCATAACGAGACAAAATTGATTGTTTTCAGGATTAAATTCTCTTCTGGTTGAACCCAAAAGACCTTAAAAAAAAAAAATAATTAACCCAGTTTTTAAATAATCTTATGTGATTTTTTTTATATCAAGATTTTATTTTTGAGTTGCAAAAAATCGGTAAATTTCTCACTTTTTTCTGAATTTTTTTAGGTTCAACTAGAATCTATACTATTGAAAATATAAATTTATTTTGCTTTTTTCGCAGTGGTATGAATGAAAATTGTACGAAAATATAATTTATAATAGAAATAATAAATATTTATTTCCTTCCCCAAAAATTGCTCAATAAGGCGATTTTTTGAAGCCTCTAAAGCAGGCTCTCCCACTTAAATACTTATGTGATAATATTTAAGTAGTAAATAATAATTTCACAATTAAAAAAAAAGCAAATTTAAACATATAACATAATACTAAGAAATGATTACATAAATTTACTGATTATCACCACTGATAATATATAGACATGTCTCACCTGTCATTATAAGATCGTTTGCTTTCCTTGGGATCTGGTTCACATTCACCTTCCTCTAATTTTCGTTTATTAATTTCCTTATCTTTATCTTTATCTTTCTCTTTCACCGCATCAGTTTCCTTATACTTTTCTTTAATCTTATTTTTTTTTACATTATCTTTGGGTTTATCCTTTTGAGATGCATTATTTGTTACATCAGGATTGGGTGCTGAAGATGACTCTGATGGCATTTTATCGTTAACTTTTTCATCCTCTTGTGACTTTTTTAAAGCATGCTTGTAAAGTTTGAACAGCTTCTTTGCATCAAACTCAGTGAACTTTGATACAAAATACCATAAATTGCTGAAAAAAAAAAACATAATCAACAAAATGATATAACAATATTTATAATAAACAAAAATAATTAGATATGTATCCTAAAGGAAAATTTTATTTTCCTGCCCAAATTTTAAATTTATCATAAAACAAATAAACCAATTCATAAAAATTATTAAATCAGTTGATACGTTTATGTCCAGAAACTATTGATAGTTATTTACATACCAACTTGTGAACAATATAACAACAGAAGTACAAATATTTATGTATATTTCAAGAATGTTACAAATTTTCACATGTGCACTGATTAATGTTTACATGATCAATGTTTGTATTTGCAAAATATGCAAATTTGTTTTAAATATTTTAAAATGACAAAATTACTAATAATTAAATATTTTTGAAAGCCTAATGCTAAACATTGAAAGTTGTTACTAAAATGGTAGTTCTTTATTCGCTTATCATGCATATTATTCAATATTTTTATACAGACGAATTAAGTTGCTATAATATCTTGAAGTAAATATTTTGGAATATATTTATTTGATATGTTATTTTATATAGCCCTGATGTTAATCAAATTTAAGGATACAAATATAAAATTTATTGAACTGTAGTTTTCAGTGAATATTACAATTACTTACAATTATATTATTATATATTATATATTGATTTTTTGACAATTATATACAGCAAAACATTGAAATTACCTGCGCCACTCTTTTATTTTATCAGGATCTTGATAGGCCTGAAGACATGTGTTTATTTGATTTCCTATTTGTAAAAGACATGTTCGTGTATGATTCACTTGGTCAATTTCTGACAAAGTTTGATCAGGATTATCCAATGCTTTAAGTGCTTTCTTCACAGGTCTCATTTTCTCTTTGCACTATTAAACAATTTTATCAAAAATAAAATATGTATATTGTAAATGTAATTATGAATAAAAAACAAACTAAAGTCAAACTATCATACTAAAGATTTTATACAAATATCTAATTAACAAAATAAAAATATGTATTTATAAAATTTCATGTACTCAGCTAATATGAAAATAATGTAACTAAAAAAGTTCAGTATGTACTTATTATTATTGTAGATCCATTTAAAGATTACAAGGAATAAAGGGAAACAAGTTAATATTTGTGGCATGACAACAATATTTTGATGCTGCGATCGTAAGTCACCTGTGAGGTGACTTACTCAATCAAACCAATTTTTATAAAAAATGAAAGAAAATAATAAAATTATCAATGAGGCAGATTTTGCATATTTACTGAGTCAGGGTTAAATGCATAATAAAATTATATATAGTTATTATTGATATAATTAGATATAGAAACTTCACAAAAAACTCTACTTTTTGAAAAAAGATATTTTCATATCTATATTTTGTGCTTAGCACAACTTATCTTAAGCAAATAATATATCAGTATATATTTCACAAAAAAAGGTTTCCAGCATTCAATCTTTCAAAGAACTTGTGAGAAAGTCCAATCAAAGAAAGAAGGACTGAATAACAGACAATGCAAGAATTAACTTCAGAACTAAAGTAAAACATTTAAAGTAAATACCTCATTGAATATTGTTGGATCTAAGCCCCCAAGTACGTCTAAAGCCCTTGGCTCATTATTTGCTGTAAAATGCATTGGTCCAGCTGATTTCTTTTTAGTACTCTTTTTTGTATCCTTTTTTTTCTTCTTGTCTTTACTATCTGTATCAGGCTTTATGGGCTCTATGGAACAATTATTTTCAACCGTTGGCTGTAAGAAAATATTTTGAATAACAAGAAAATATAATAATACTCATTTTTTTGTTAAATTGTGTTTTTAAAATTAATAAGTGTAAGAAATATTTATACATTTGCAGCATACTTACATTCTTAGGTTTAACTTTTTTCTCATCACATGATGAATTACCATTTGTATCAACAATTTCTTTTGAAACCGTCTTTTCCTTAGCTTTCCTAGTTTTTCTAGGTTTTTTCTAAAAAAAATTATAGATTATTTAATAAAAGAGCACAACAATGTTTTTTTAACTATTAACAATAAAAAAAATATTCTACTCACTACTCCTTTTTTCAAATCCAACGTTTTTCGCAGAATTTTCAGTAAGTATTCAGCCCTTGATTGCAGATGTTTTGCTTGAGGTTTTTTGTTTTCATTTGAAAGTATTTTGTCACTAATGCCTAAATATATAAAAAATTTTTTTTCAATTTCTTAAATATGTATGCTAAACTCAACCATCTTTGCTATAAAAAAGCTGTATTTTATATATATATATATATATATATATATATATATATATATATATATATATATATATATTAAAATTTAATAATTGAATATATAAGGAAATTTAAAAATGAAAATAGTCAGCAGAGTCAGTCATTTTATTAAACCAACCTAAAGAAGGATCCATTTTCATTGCTTCCCATGAACCTAAACCATATTGATAAATCCCACAGAGCAATCTCGAATCATCTTCTACAGTCCATTCAACATCGAAGTGAGCAGGTCTTGTACTATAAAAGTATATGTTGAATCAATAAAAATGTTCAATTTCATTTCATTTAATTTATAATATAGTAGTGATACTAAATGATGGATTTTATTACACTAAAGTTATTGTTGATTAAAATTCAATGTAATAATAATAATTTGAGTACTCCCCAACTATCTTTTGATGAAGTAGACACAATTAAGATATTTAAGTTTATAAAAACTTCAAAAATCTTGTCTATTGCATGCTAATACAGAAGTTGAATTAGAAGCATAAATTTGATATTAACCAGATATATTACTATTGGTTAAAACTTACTTAAAATTCAAGATCCATTTCCGCCGTTCATCCGCATTTTGCGGCAGAATTTCGTCCAGTGGTTCTAATTCCTTTTCACATGCAATCAAAGTCTTAGCATTGACACTGACTCCACCAAGTTTGAAAGACATTCCACGGGCACCTCTCTTTTTGGCTGTGGAACATTAGAGTTTATTGATTCTCATGGGTCATATCAACAAGAGTTCTACTCACAATTCTGCCAATGGTATACCAGAAAGACTGAGATCGCTATCCAATTCATTACTGGAAATCCCTGGTCCCAGCAAAGCTAAGCACCTGGCTCTTAAATCCTGGCCTAACCGCAACAGATCTGCAAGAGGCTTTTCCTGAAGCTCAGCTTCGCAGGCAATAGCTTCCAAACGATTCAAAGGAGCAGGAAACTTCTTGTAACTCTTTACAAAACGACGAACCTGTAATTCAAATCATAAAATTGATTAAGAGTAGAAGTAAGTTTTATAAATATTAAAATTAGATTGGTTATAAGATTAGTTATAATTATATAACTTATATTATATAAGTTACACAAAAGATAGGAGGTATCAAACATATGTCAAAAATACAATTGAAATGCCATTGACATATATTTTATATTAATCACGTATCAAATAAAAAAACATTGTTGACCATGGTTAAATATCTATTACTCTAAAATGCACATTAAACGTGCACGATAAAAAAATAAAAAAGTTACCTCAGCATCTGAAAATCCTTTAATTCTTTCTCGTGCACTGGTTGGAGGTCTACCACGTTTCTTAGGTCGTTCCTCATCAGTGCCATCTTCTTCAGCACTGGAACCTGATTCATCTTGGCCTTTCCTTCTCTTGCGACCTCTACCCTCACCACCTTCGCCATCTGAATCTGCTTCTGAAAGAAAATGATGAAATGAACTTAAAACATATTTAATGAATAATTGTAAATCTAGATAATAAATACATTATATAAATACAATAAATATAGATAATAAAATATAATATAACATTTGCATCTGAATTAATTTATTTTATATATTTCATTATTAGTTTATTACCTTGATTGATTTGTTGAAGTGTTTTTCTTGACCTAGGAGGCAAATAAAGATCTTCCATTTCTTTACTCCTCTCTTCATTTTCAACAGCTTTACGGTAATCTTCAGGTATAATATCATCCCATTCTTTACTTTCTTCATCCTGAACATCTGCAAGAGTCTTTGGTGAGGGTTGTTTATCTTCATCAAATGCAAAACTAGCTACTTTAAAAGCAGACAGGAGTTCATCGCCAACCATAGTAGGACCTAAAACAAAAAATAAATGCAATGAAATGTAAGCATAGTTATAATATAGTATTGCATAGTTATACTATGAGAAAAAAATTAAAAAAAAAAAATACAACACTCAAATTTTGGTAATGAAATTATTGTTGTCAGTAAAGGAGTAAGGCAAAGTCGCAAAGAAAGTAGTAAGACTAGTTTTAGAAATTCAGCAAAATATAGACTGAAAAATATTTGGACCATTAAGACATTTCTTATGACAAAAGGTAAAACCTAAGAGGAATGAAAAATATTATAGTATTTTTTTCAAATATTTTCCTAAACAAACCTTCATCCCTTGTCTCCGCCCTTCTCAAAATTTCATCTATATCACAAACAGGCTCTTCATCTCCTTCTTCATCATCTTTGAACAACTCCTCAGCTCCAAACTTTAATATTGCTGTGAGATCCTCCTTTTTAAAAGGATTGCTTTTCGAAGCACCTTTTTCATCCAAAACAGTTCTCCCTGTTGTGTCCATTCTCTGTATTACCAAATGATCCAAAACCATTTTTTGCTTAGCTCGTTCAACAATATCTTCTTCTACAGACCTAGCGGTCACCAACCTGTATATATTTACCTAAAAAAACAATAAATCAAATTAAAATGAACAATAAATATTATTGTAAATACATACCTGATTTTTCTGTCCTATTCTATGTGCCCTAGCTTGTGCTTGTAAATCATTTTGTGGATTCCAATCTGAATCGAATATTATCACAGTATCCGCAGTGGCTAAGTTTATACCTAGTCCACCAGCTCTAGTAGAAAGTAGAAAGCAAAAATCTTGAGATCCCTCAGCATTAAAATGGTCTAATGCCTGCTTTCGCATTTCACCTTTAATACTCCCATCTAACCTTTGAAAAGGAAAGTTACGCTTTTGCAAGTACTCACTGAGTATATCCAACATTCGAACCATTTGAGAAAATATCAGTACTCTATGACCGGTCTCACGAAGTCTACATAATAGTTTGTCAAGCAAAAGAAGCTTACCAGACCCTCTTAATAATTTTTGAACTACATCTTCATGGGATGTTGTAGTTTCATATTCAGTAGGTCTTGTTAATAAGGCATGATTGCAACATTTTTTCAATTCTATAACGATATTTAGAAATGTAGTGGCAGAACCTTTAATACCTTTTCGCAAAGCATTAAAATTCTTTGTCAATATCCATTTGTAATACTGTTTCTGAATCGATGTCATTTCGACTCGTAATATTTGTTCCACCTTCGCTGGTAAAGATTTTTCCACATCTTTCTTCACCCTCCTTAAAATAAAAGGCTCAAGTTGTTTATGAAGTTTATCATAACCCTTCTGTGCTGAATTTTCATGATCTCTTTCAAAGCTCTCCCATGTGTCAAATCTATAAACAAAATTATTAAAATCATATAAAGTCGTAAGAAATGGTTACAACTATATAAGTTGTAAGAAATGGTTTTTAATATAATGTACTTTTAATACTTACTTTTCTGGCATAATAAAATGCAGTAAAGCCCATAATTCTTTCAATGAGTTTTGTAAAGGAGTACCAGTTATTAATAGCCTATGATTTGTATGAAACTCTCTCAATGCTTTGTACAATAGTGAGTCATCATTTTTCAATCTGAAAACATTCTAAACATTTTTTATTCTGCAAATATCCAATAGAATGTTCAATAATAACAAAAATTGTGGCAAAAATATTACAATGTATTAAAATAAAATTTGAATTAAAAATACAGGTACACAAACCTATGAGCTTCATCCACCAGTAGAGCTGCCCAACTTAGATTTCCTAAAAAGGCTTTGTCTTTTAATACTATTTCATATGTAGTCAAAATGGCATTGAATTTTAAACGTTTTGAAGAGTCATATGACCATTCAAATTGTCGAATAATATCCCGAGATTTGACATCACCCAAGTATGTGACAAAATTCATGTCAGGAGCCCATAAAGCAAATTCACGCTGCCATGCAGTCATAGTACTCAGAGGAACAACACATAAAAATGGCCCATATAATTGATGGGTTTTAAAAAGATAGTACAAAAAACAGATAGTCTGAAATGATATAATAAACATAACATTAGAATATAAATACTATTTCAAATTTGCTATAACATAGAATAGTACCTGAATGGTCTTTCCCAAACCCATCTCATCCGCAAGTATTACAGAATTTTCTTTGCACCAAGAATGTATCAACCAATTTAAGCCATCCATTTGATAATCTCTTAATGTCAATGACCTGTCTCCGCTCATATAATCTGGTTGGGTTCTTACTTGATGAAATTTTGGTCTAACAGTACAAATAATGAAACATAAAATAAAATACATGAAACAATTTATTGCAAACACAAAATAAAATCAGGTAATGTTTAACAATAAAATGTATCAGAATTATTTGTTGCTAATCTTGTCACTCATAATTCGAAACATTGAACAAAATTTAAATAAAAAGAATTATATATATATTACCTATATTTCAGAACTTTACAGTGTCTGCTTGGGGTAGTTTTTGATTCTTCGCGGGCTTGAAATTCTTGAACCTTTTCTGGCCATTTTCTCATAATTAAATTTGAATCTTCCCATGTAGCTTCAGAGTATGGTAAAGATTCCCATTTACAATAATAATCAATTCCAGCATCATCTGGCTTGTCATATTTAGCTAAAATAAATTTAATATAACACATACATTTAAAAATACTTATAAATTAAAGCATTTTACCATACCAATAATTCTTTCAACATTGTAATAACTCTTAAGTAAATCTTGCACAAGTTCTAACTGACATTCATAATAATCAATATCTTCGGGTCCAGCAGTATGTTGTCTCCAAAACTGTATATCTAAATCTTTCTTGATAAAATTCTCCAATTTCTTCATTCCTTTTACCTTATAATAGTCAGACAAATTATTATATTATGTAATAAGTCATATTATTTATACAAATTATTCACACACACAAACATATTCATACATTCAAACATATGGAAACACATGTACAAGTTCAACAATTGAACTTGAAAATCAAATTAAATCTTGTCATATACTTTTTGATTCTTCAGAGACTCTTCAGATTCCCAAGTATTATGGATATGTGCCCAGTCTTTCCATTTAATAAGGTACTGCATTTCTGTATTTTCCAAGTCATTAACATCAACATCTGCATTTGGGTCCCCATTGTCTTCAACTGCATATAGAGTGGTTTGATTTCCAGTCACTATAATTAAAAATAATAAATAAATATAACTAATAAAATAATAAATAAATGAATTGTCATTTTGAATTATAACATTTTAAATTACACATAATAAAATATATTTCATAATCATATTCAAATCAAAATTGCAATCCATATATTTGCACACATAAGAAATTAATTAATACTTAAAACAAAAATAAAAAAAGATAACATTAATTAAAATGTATTACCTCCTTTTTTCCCCCTTCTTTGATCCAAAACTTTTTCTATAGTTTCACACTTTTCCTCAGTTTCAATAGGAACCTCAATTTCAGGCTCAGCAACTTCCAGCAAGTCTTCAGAATCAGTTCCTTCATCACTTGCCTCCTTGTAGCTGACAGAAGCAGCAGCTTGCCTTCTTGATATTGCTCTATGTATTTGTATAATTAACATAAATAAATATTGATAGAATAAATTATACATATATAAAAAAAAAATTCACAACACCCACCTGCTATTGTCGTCATCACTCCCTTCACTACATTCACTTGATTCAGATAAGTATTGCGCTCTTTTCCTACTATTTGACAGTGACTTCTGTGAAAACTTTTTTGTAGTAGTCTTCTTGATACCAGGCCTTCTTGAGGGTGGGGGTACCTCATTTTCACTATCTGATGCATTATCAGATGAATTCCAATTCGAACTGAACAAATTGATTGATTAAAATAAATGCAAACTATATACTTTGGAACTTTCTATGGGTCATACAAACCTTGAATTTCTATTTGAAGAATTGCTCCGATTTCTCGAATTTTGCTCTGGAACTTTTAATCGCTCTGGTTCTTTACATGACCTCCCAGAACGTCTAATTCCAACATCATCTGAATTGTTATACCACTCCTAAAAAATTATATATTTTCAACCAATATTATATCTGTTATTAAATCAAATATCAGTACTTCATTATTATATTCATTTATTTACTAAATATTACTATATTGAACACACATCATCATTATCATTTTTCTCTTCAGCCTCTGATTCATTTTCAGTACAATTCTTATTTTCAACAGTACTATTGTTTACTGAAGTACGAGATTTTCCAGAGCTTACAGAATTTCCAGATGAACTAGATGCAGAACCAGAATCACTAACAAAAAAAAATAAAATAAATAAAATCATTGCATCATTAAAACAATTACTTATTCAAACATTTGAAATAAACCAACAGTAAAATAAAATTCAGATATCATATAATATTGAAAATTTTGTATCAAACTTAGTAATAAATATAGAAATACAGGTTTACAAATAACTCAATGATTTTATTCAAGACAAATACTGAATATTTTGTGTACAATAAAAATATAAATGTTTAGATACAATAGAAAATAAAATAAAATTCACAATAAACCACATTATTGCGTTCATATAGGCAGTATTCTGTCAATTATATTCACTGTTCATACAACTGTAGTTCAAATAAAACCATACAATTAAAATCTAAATATATTTATTAACAATGCCTATTATGAAACATAGCTTATCTGCCCAAACTACTGCTAATATATCTCAATTTATTATCACATGCACTTTATTATAAACTTTGTTTTATTGACCTGTCAGAACTGGAACCCGAAGAACTATTACTATCACTGGATGAATCACTTCCAGAATCTGATAATGATTTCTTCTGAAATTAGTACATTTTATGAAAAATAAAGAATTTGGTAGCATAACAATTACATTTGAAAACACAAGAAACACTCCCAATAAAAGATCACAAAACACAATAAATAAACAAAATCTATAATATAATAGTTATTCACCCTGAAAGCCATAACTTTAAGTTAAAATTACAAAAATGGGTCTATAAAAAAATTACATATTTTTTGCATTTATGTATTTGGCAAACATTGTAGTATAAGAATGTAAAGCAATTACTGTGGCACAAAACAAATAAGTGTCAAAAAACAACAAAAATGTAAATAAACTACCTGATCTGTCAAATATGTATGAAACTGATTGAAAACTCAAATAAGCTACAAATTAAGCAAAATCGCAATTACACATAAAAAACATTTAATAACAAACAAACATAAATAATTTGTACAATTCACAAAAATATATGCAGAAATATAAACAAATATTTATATTTATACTCCTTAAACAAGAAAACTTTTCAATCTGTTAGTTGTTAATTCAACAAAAATAGTGATCTTACGTAATAACCACGCCTTAAAACCTACGCCAAAACTATTCAAAATAAGTAAGCAAAATAATATAATATTCTGCACATATAAGACCCACTATTTAACCAAATAAATGCAAGTTAACTCTTACCTGCTGCATTTTGATTCTGGGTGATAAATGATATTTTTTATAAATTACGTTATAAAAGTATTAAAATACTTGAAAACAAAATATTGTGTACTAAATTTCATAATTTAACTTTCATTTGTTTTTGTCTTTTGGAAATGTTGACTGAAATATAACAAATTATATTTCATTAACGACGCCATTATCAATGTAAAGTGCCATAAGTAAAGCTTGACTTGGCGTAACCATAAACTTTCACGATATTTTTACATACTTTGTTTACGTTTGACATACAATATGGATACTCGAAATCACTCAAAAATATAAGCAAACAAGTGCAATAAATATAGTCTTAAATGTCACAAACCACTGCCGAAAATATACTGGCAGCCATGTTGGCTATGCTTTAGCTTTGATTTCCTTCTTCGTGTAGTATCTAGGTCTATATCCGGATTTCGACAACAATTATTTCACATGTGGCAACACTAGCCAGTGCCATAAGACCAATGCCGTAGAGTAAAAGTGCCGCGGATTACCCACTCTCTCACAACTGAATTGACAGTTTCTAGTACGGCACGGCACGGCACGGCACGGCACATGCTTTTAGACAATTTACTCCGTAAATTGTAGCAAAATAATAAAACTGGATTATTTTCCAAAACTGCTGCTGATCTAAAGATTATGGTTATTTATTTCTAATATATATATATATATATATATATATATATATATATATATACATTTTTTAACAGCTGACGATTCAGATAATTGAGAGAAAAACTAAATTATGTTTCTAAAAAAAATTAATAGACATCCATGTATTTCGAGTCCCAGTTTGACCTTTTCTGTTGATAAAACACACATATTATTTAAAAAAATCATAAAAACATTTGATCAGAATGGTCGTCGTGTACGTATTTTCTTTTTCAATTTATTTTTAATTAAATATCTTTATTTTTTTGTAAATTATGGCACTGAATGAAGTTTTGCTCATGCTTTTTGATTAATACCATATTCATGTTTATTCTGTCTTTAGAATAAATTGTGTTTCATCCACTGAAAAATGGTCAAACTGAGACTTGATAAGTGAGTAAGTCTATTACAGTTTTTTCATGAACATAATTGAGTTTTTATTCTATTATCTTGATGGATGACCGTTAAAAAGCTTTTATTTTTATTTGTATATATTTTACCACCTGAAAAATTATCATTATATATATATATATATATATATATATATATATATATATTTCAAAGTAACTAGCAGCCCATTCGTCGAAATAAAATTTCGTTATTTCGACGAATGGGCTGCTAGTTACTTTGAAATATGTTTCAACGTCGAAAAAACTATCAAGATATATATATATATATATATATATATATATATATATATAATTGTAATAAATAGTAGTCTGCCTTCGGTCCATGATACGAGAGCACCACAAAATGATGATTTTTTGCCCTCGTTTTCAATTTAATTTATATTATATGTATATATATATATAATATATATATATATATATATATATATAATATATGTATGCATGTATTTGTGTGTATTTTGTAATATCACCAAATATCAATCAAAGTCAATATCAAAAATATCACCAAAGACATAACAGCATATGATATTTCCAATAAAAACAATATTTTATCTACTTAGCATTCGTATATTATTAACAATTTTTCTGAGATATTATACAAAATTTTTTCACAAAAACATTATGTACTTCTTTGCATTTGTCCTTAAACATTAGAACAATTAAATTCCGATTCACAGCTTTTGTTTTGTTTGAATAAGAGCGACAATAAACTGTTCTATGCATTGCATTGTTATACATACACACAAACACACACACATATATGTAATATACATATACAATATAAAATTAATGAATAAATTTCACCATGTAATTGAAAATATATTAATTTGATATAACAGCATATATTAAGTAACATTCTGTATAAAATTACATTTTATAGTAATAACAGATAAAATACCATCCAGAAAGCATTTGTCTACATAATTACAATTAAATAAGTATATTTCATTTCCAGTAATAATAGCTTCATTTAGAATTTACTTAGATATAAATAAATAGACTTTAGAATTTAACAATAGATTTTTTAAATATTTTTGGAGTTTCAATATCAAAAAATGTTTTACTATTGAAAGCAAAAACTTTAATTGAAACAGCTGAAGTCATTAGACGACGTTAAGCTAAATTGGTGGCACCATTGATTATTTGTAATTTCACCATTTTATTCATGGTATTAATGCAGTCATATTTTTTCATTCTTTCCTATCTCCACAGAAGTTACATACTTCGAAAGAATTTATTTAGTATGTCAGTCTTGGCTTTACATTTTTTACTTCATGTTTAGCATAAGATAATTACACTAATGTGAATAATAAATATTATTAATATAAATTTAATAGTAAAAATCCCGATTTCTTAATTTTGTAAAATTTTAGAATTCCAGATCGAAAATATATTGTATGAAGTATTTGGAACTATGCTATTAATATAGTCATCAGTTTAAAAGAGTCCTATTAAAACTTTCAAGAATAAAAAATCAATATCTAATATTTTGTGCATATACTTTTCTTGAACTATTTCTCCTAATTAATTTTTGCGTAGGGTAAGTTATAGTGATCGCATAAAATCGAAAAATCATTCAATTCCTATTGATGGGGAGACATGCTAATTATTTTTTGGCAAAGGCAAGTCCAGCAAGTTTGACGATACGGGGCAAAAGTGCCAAAAATAGCAATTCAGTTTTTTGAGAGAACGAGGCGGCCGATTTGAATGATTAAAAAACATTTTACCTACATTGAATGAAGATTTGACTAAATTTTTGGGAATGCAGGTCCTGCGGTTTTGGAGATATAGAAAAAAGATATAAAAAATACCATTTTGTGCAATTGATTATTTTTATCTCTCGAATGTTTAATTTAACGGCACAGGAAGTTTCAGCACTTTGCTTTAAGTCACAATGCCATTTTTTCCTTGGCGCCCGCTTTCCTTATTTTTTTAAACTGTTTCTACAGTTTGTCATTAAAATTATATGAAAAACTAATTATAAACATTTAGAGTTACAGCGATGGCAAATTTTAGGTTTTTACAAAAATAATAATTACAATAGTTTAGAAATGATTATTTAAAATAACAAAAATATAAAATTTATCATTTAATATAAATATAAATCTAGTGTTGAATAAACAAAAAGTTTTCAACAATTTCAACATAATTACAGTCAGCTACAAAATCATATCAAATGATACTCATATCATTTAAATTCTTCTATATGTTTAATATACCTATAATAATGCTACATTTGAAATAAATATTCATAATTAGATATGAGTCTCCTACCAGAATTATTCGAAGCAATTCAAGACATTTTCATTAATCTAATAACTATATTAGCTCCCATATAAGTAAGCTAGAACCACATGTAATTTTTATTATTAGAAAATTTTTATTATTTTATTATTTGAAAAATAAATGCATACAGAGATTAGTAATTTTTTAGATATTTTCTTTCTTACATATACACACATACGTTACACACACATATATACACACATACATATATATATATATACATATATATATATATATATATATATATATATATATATAATCTTACTTGTCAGCATAATCGGATAGCCCTTTATTGTAACTTTACAAATGTACTAGTGATGGTCGTCAGAGTCTGCTGCAGAAATAGTTTCTTGAATCCACGCTACATTAGAGTTAATTTTGTCATACATTCTTGGTCTCTCGGTGCCACGAGTGGCACCAGTACCAGCGCAGGCTATGCGCCAGGTGGAAACGCCAACTAAAGACCATCGCTTTCCCGTCTGGATAAAGACATAACATGGAACTTCCAGCCATCTCTTCCTCCTACAATTTATACAATATACACAGTAAAACAATTCAATCGACAGCATTTTAAATGGACTGGTGAATGTTCGATCATATATGGATGTAAGCTTACATTGCAGTCTTGCTGTGGAAGAGCAGCTTCTGTGCAAAGTGAGTTTACAGTTGCTATGCTGACGTTCTCGCATCGCTGCATGTCACTTACGCGTAGTTGTACGCGCTGCAGTTGTTTACGATGTCGCGCCCAGCCCAGTGCATTGCAATGAGTTGTAACGCGCAGGGCAGTCATATTATCTGGTAAGCACACTGGACGTACGAAATTTGATAAAGCAACAGGCACTTCGAGACGAACCAGTGCAGCAGTGCTTCCCTCAACAGGAGACTTTACCATGCCTGATCAGAACAGAAGGTTACATGCAGATACAATTTAGACCAATTTTTCTTAACATTTGCACAGTTGAATATTCATTTGACAATAAAAAATATTATGCTATGGTTACCATTACTACAGCTTTCAAATACGATTTAATTCAGGAATTAGATGACAACGTTCATAGTTATTTCAATTGAGTTATGGTATATAATCAATGAAATAATTCATACTTGATTTTTCGGTAACAAAAGTACTCAAATGTACATTGAACTTGTTCATTGAGAGTTTATTTAACGGATTTGATGTTTTATCATATTTATGCACCATTGCAAACATTTTGCTGCAATAATAATCAAATATAAGGTAAACGTACCATATTACGGGATGTTAAGGAACGTTTGACTTTAAAGACGAATTTTAGAGAAAATAGGAAAGTGGACGAACTAAATCTGTTATATTTTATTAATTAGACTTTTAAGATTATTATAAAACAAGATTTTTCGTCGTAGAACGTCATTTATAGAAATAATCGGCATTTTGCTGAACCACGCGTTTGTCCCTAATTCCGTCATAAAATTCGGCTCGTGAATATAATGCCGGGAGTCGTTGTACGTTATTCCGTGATAGCGCACGATGCTTACATTTTTGATCGTATTGCCTTGATAAATATAGTTATAAAAAAGGGTTATAAAAAGTGCGGTTAATTATGAAATAATACTCTGATATGATTTTAAACATTTATTTAGTTTTATAAAAGTCATAAAATTATAAGAAGTTAAAAAACTTCTAAAATAAAAATAAAATAAAAGCTGGTATTATTATAGTAATAGCAGTATAATTATCATTATCAATACTGTTTCGGTAAATCAAATAAATGAAACAATAAAGGAATAATTTTTAACGGCAATTAAACAAAAATATAAACTTAAAATAAATATAAAATTTAAACTCAAAGTAAAAAAATTAAACTTGTAATAAAAGTTACAATTCTGTCAACAAACATAAATCTTTAAAGACTTTACAATAATCTTTAAAGACTTTCAAGTTAACAATAACTATACTAGCTCAAATTAGGTTTGATTGGGAATTTTGTATGTTTTAGAAGCTTTAAAATACATTTAATATAATATGGCAAATTTCTTTTAAAGCCTTTTTTCAGGGTTTTGGGTGAATATTTAATTGGAGCCATCGTTCTTTGAAAAACTAAAAGTCCGATTTGAAATCATACCCAAATAAATTTACTGATCTTGAATATAATTTTAATTCAAGTAAATTATAAGTTACTGCATTTAAGAGTAGCCTCGGCATCTTATTTTCGAGTAATTGCAATTCATATTAATTTAATAACTTACGATGTATGTTTGTTTTAATAATATGCAGGTTATATAATGGTTATATTCCAAAAGCTTAATCGGATTAAAACTATCGTGTTAACAGGAATGTCCCTAGATCTCTGCATACATACATACATACCAGCGCCCTATAAGTACCGTGAGCTATACGGGGTATACCTGTATTTTTATTCAATTTATATAATAGAAATAATTGATCATAGATGAATGAATGAATGAATTGATCACAAATGAAATTGATAATTTTTTGACAAATATATGCTCGATTTAACTATAAAACTAATCTCTTATTATTACTGATCAAAAATTTCACACATTTGAATCGATTAAGCTTATCGGAATCAAATAAAAACCTTAAGCAAGGGAACCGTCACATAACCTAACTCGCTAACAAGCCAGTACGAAATGGCGATCGGGTTACGACCGATGCTTTCAAAAGCTTTTTACGGCTTAAAAACTAATATTTGAATTCGAAAATCGTACTATTTTATTAGGATTCAAATTATAATTGATGTGCTGTTGAATAAAATTATTATTTATTGACCGTTTTCTTATTTTGCGATCAAAATGAAAAACTCTCGTAATAATGTACTATACCGGAATAGTGTACGTTTACCTTACTAAACAATTATTGAATTATAAATCTACATACCGATAATATTTCGCTCCTGTTGCCATGGACCTCCATCGCTATCGAGTCGTGTAACGCCTAAACGAGCCCGCCATTCAGCGCGCGGCTGTCCTTGGAAACAGGCGGCAGTAGTAAGGAGCCACGTGGGTGCCACTAGGGTCGCATCGCATACGTGTGCTCCATCACGAAATAAAGCTGCATGCCATGGCCAGTCTCCTGGACCAGCTAATTTTGCAAGAGCCGCGCCTGATCCCAGAGACGATTGCAAGCCGCACTCTGTGTACACACAGCGAAATAAATGAAAACATATGTACGTATTATCGTAATATTCTATAAAATTAATGTTATGGATTCATAAAGAATAACAGCTTTTATTGCAAGGATCCATTTCGATAATTACTTGTTCGTTCGTATGTTCGTTTTTGTACATAGTTTCAAATCCGATCAGATAAAGTATGGAGATTTTGAAACAAAACAAAAAATAATATTATTTTTCATAAATTATCGGTTAGAGCGCGGGCTAGCAGCAACTAGTTCCGGGTTCGCTGGTTCGATTCCCGCTACCGCCGTAGCCCGACATCAGGCAACTATGATGTCAAATTTCAACTTGTGGTTATAGATCATAATATAACTACAAGTGGAAATCGTGGACATATAAACTATTAGACGTAAGAGCTAATATATAATAAATCCACACATAGGAGAATGGTGAACCAATGGGTTGCCTCTCATAATGATATCTTAGACCATAATCGTTGAACCAAACAGCTTATAGAACATATATATCGTAAGAGTTCTGATTGCTGTTGTAACAATAATTTAAAAAAAATCATAAACCACCCCAATATATGTATGTATTACTCACTCTCGCAATATTGATAATATAAACAATATATAATATATATATATATATATATATATATATATATATATATATATATTTATAATATACATATTGAAGACATACTTATAGGTAAGTGCTCTACATAAAGAAGTTGCAACTGCTTCTAGAGCTGTTCTATGCTTTGCAGGTTCAGTAGAAACTGATTGTACTCCTTTCTTCAATCCTTCGGCGCACAGTTTTCCCGACTTTCCTCGTTCCATAAACATTACATATCCTTCAGAATGGAATTTTGATAAATGTGGTGTCAGCGTGGGACCTCTAACAATAGCATGCAGTGATGGTGCAACTCCCACTGAAAATGTAACGATATTATTTATATGAAAGATTTAGGCTGAAAAAGCAATCCGAAATGAAAAAGCAAAGAACCACTATTATTTTTTCACGTATCTCATTTAGTCATATGTAATATTAGAAATAAGGCAAAAAAATAATTGTCAGCACTCAGCATGTTATTTGTTTTATCTACTATCTATTTTATCTACTAATGAAACTGTTTTAACTATTGTCAGATACTATATATCAGTGTGGAATATATATATATATATATATATATATATATATATATATATATGTTTCTTTTATGTTTTTCGAATGAAAAATAAATTCAAGTAAATATAATAAAATGTAGAAAACTCACGACAAGAATTTTCATCAGATCCATCCGGGCAGTCAGGTCGCCCATCACAAACACGATCTGGTGATATGCAGAATCGTCCTCTTCCGCAATGCAGTCGTCCAGGAGCACAATATGAACATCGCAACTCATCACTCAAGTCCGCGCAGTCCGGTATTCCATCACAAAGTCGCGGAGATAACGCTTTTTCCTGAATATTATTTGTTTATTTATAAGTCAAACAGCATGATGCATTATTTAAGAATAATAGCAATACATTATAGATATTCGTTCATTAAGGGGAGGTTGTACCCTGTTTACATATATTACACTCTTTTTTGATATATTTGTTGATTGACCAAATGCAAGAAAAAATTAGACTTATTTCATCGTTAAAATTTTCGTTAATCATTGAAACTATCATTATGTTACGAAATAATTATAAGAAGCTTTAAATGTTTTGAGATTCCCCTAAATAAACGTGATTTCCTTAGTATTAATATACGAGCATATGTTAGATAAAACGAGTTTCAAGAGTATAAATTTAAATAATTTCAAATCAGACAATAATTTAAAACTACCAGATAATATAAATACTGTTATTTCATGCTATTTAAATTTCGTATCACTAACCTCAAACTCATCTGCACATCCTGGTTTTACAGCACAAGATCCGGGCCCGGAATACTCCGGAAACCCATTACAATCCAGCATGGAACGAAATTTATCAGATAAACGGGATCCGCATCCTAACCAAAAATCTTTACAAAATGAACGACATGGTAACTGGACATTAATTTCTTCATTTATGTTAGGATCCCGCAATAAAATGCCAGAGGAAAGACATTCAGGTTGAAGCAATCTACAGAGAAAATGGTGTGCAGCGCGGTAGCATTCTGCATCGACCAGCTCACGAAATGCTATCATATCGGCCTAAAACATAAATTATTGATTGAAGATACATAGAATAAAATCCGAAGTTTTTTATTATTTTTTTTTAATTTCGAAAGGGAGATAACTAACTACATAAATGAAACTTTTATTTAGGTATCGTACTTGAACTTCGGCTGAGCTCTTGTGGCCAAGAAGATTAGGGTACATGGTAATATTATATGGTAGCGTATCGCAGAATGACAAGTCAACTTTAGTACATTTTTGATGTGGTCGCGATGCAGGCGTCACGGAGGGATCAGGTTCTATAGAGAGCGGAGCTGTCGATGAGGGCAAATCGCCACTTTCGCGTATTTCCAAACTTGAGGACTCAATTAGCAATCCAGTTAGGTATCGCGGTTTATCTTGGCTTATTTCTTTCCTTAGAACACGTTCGACTTCCTTGGTAGTGACACGTTGATACAATGGCTCAAAGTGCAAGCTCACATGTACGACGAGATCTTTATCTTCTTCTCTGTAAAATTGAACAGTAAAATTGTTTAGGTATAATAAATACTGTAAACAAAGTTAATTTCAAACAAAATTTCAAACAAAACTAAACACATAGAAAGAAGGCCCCATTGTCTTTTTATCTTTCATACAAGATATTCTTATACGTTTTTCTTCAAAAAAAGACATTAATATAATAAATAAAGAATAAATATATAGAAGAATCAATACAAAGTATACCAATGAAAATCATTACTTCACTTCACCAAAATAATGCCTACTGATGATTAGGATTAAATTTCTACTTACCCATCTAAAGCTAATACTTCCGTTTTACTGAAACTTTGTCTAAGTTCACTTCGTCGGAATAATAAATTTAGCATTTCGCGGTAATCTCGTGCGTGATTTTCAAAAATAACAGAAGATGTATCAGCGAGCTGCGGAGAAAACGAATCTCCTTGCAATACACGAAAGCGCACACTGAATTCTTGATTTCCCGGAGGTTCTGGACTGAGATAAGTATCTAAAAATTAAAATTAAATACATAAATATTTTGAAGAAAGCAATATCATATCGATCAACAAGTTGTGAATTGCAAGCTGACTTACAGGCCAAGTAAAGAGCGACAGCAGCTAGAAGTAGCATTCCGATGAAAGAAGCGACTAGTAGACAACCGCAGCGCTTCCTCTGGCCGAGTTTCCGGCGCGTGAACCGGATATCACTGTCGGAAGCTAGGGCAGAACTATTGTCACGTTTCAGGCGGCGCCCGACCACGCTGCTTGACGACATCTGTGCGAATCAAATGAAATAGACCATAAATTAAGTCTTGGGATTTATGGAGAGCATTATCAAACCTTTTTACACCAATGGGAACGCATTGCTGATTGCGGCTCATGAGAATTATATTTTATTAGTGGTTATTCATTACACAAATATGCAGCAGGAGTGTACTTACTGATAAAATAACAATTATTTGACAATCAGTCACCGAATATCATAAAAAGTGAAAAGTATTGCAAAAATATCAGTTTATTACATAGTTTTTAAATTAATAATAATAGTAAAGTGAAAAATAAGCTGAAATTATAATATATTCAATAATGTATGTTTACCCCAGATTTAGTGAAATAATTATAGAGATAGAGGGTATTTTGCACGGCCAATTTGTCATTCTTGAGTAAATTGCAAAAACACATTTTTAGCTTTACTGACAATATATCTAGTTTTTGTCTATGAAATCGAACATCAAATAAAAAATAAAGGAAAAAACGGAAAAATCATTCTAATAGTGTTAATTATGTTAATATATATTGTTTAAAAAAAAAACGTTTACGGATTTTATAAGATAAGAAACAATTATATATTTTTATGCAAAAAATAACAATACTCTCACATTTTGTTATAAATATTTTTGGAAACTATGACTAAGTTTGTATGGAAGTTTCTAAAACAGTGTAATGAGCATGTTAACTGTGATTACAATGCATGGGTCGTGTGAAAATATATTAACATATTTCAAACTCATTATTGTTTTGAAATAATTAGTTATTTTATCAACTAATTAAAGATCAATAAATCATTAATGCAGCCATACCGATCAAATTCGTTTTATATATTAGAGTACATTTTCAGAAGTTTTTAATTTTCCGAAATGTTAAAATTTGTGCTAGAAAATACGATTAGCTAATATGGTGTTTTTCAATTGTCACAAACATTGGAAAAATTATGTGTATGACTGCAACCGACCATAAAAATTTTAAAGCCATTTGATGAAACGCGATAATAAATAGGGTAGGGCGGGGCACAAAGGTCGAAATTGACTTTGAGCAATTATGTTGTGAAAACCAAACCAATTATATCACAATAAATAACACACATCTAACAAATAACTAAGAAACTATGTTCAGTGAAACTCCCAGCTAATTCATTATTGTAGAAATGTGTTTTTTTTTGCTGTTTTTCAAAAATTTGTAACCAGGCCCTTTCTACCTCATAGGCAGAGTAAATTGGTATGACCAAGAAGCAAATAGGTCTATTGTTTAATTTTAATTTTAAAATAATAGTTACATTATTCACAGAGGCGTAGCGTGCCTTGCCGGGCGTGCCCCCAATCAAAATTTGTTTGGGGGCCCCCTCAAGAAGATTTTTTTTTACGATATATAAAAATTCATAAAATTAAAAGAATATTTATATATCATTCTAATTATTTATCTATCTAATTTTTTTTATTTTTTTCTAATTTTTCCAAATGATTTCAGATATATATTCACTTACTCTTCTTGCCTTTTTTGAAAAACTGAATTATTTCATAATCTTTAAATTTTATAAAGTTTCTGTTTCTGTAGACATTTCTGTCCTAAAGTTTTTACGTAATTTTTAATTAGTTTCAATTTTAAAAATTTCTTTTAGCAGTTGCGTTTGTAACTGGAAGGACCAGGAATAAAATGGTTACTGTTATTTCGTTCGGAAAACTGGATGCAAGCAACCCTATTGCATTTCATAAATTTCCTAGATTTTTGTATTCAAACTTATTATCAATTAGTCATGATCATGTAAGATATACAGCATTTCATGATTGTATATATTTACAGTATTTCTTTGCAGTAATTCAACCGACAGTTTTCCGGAAACGTTTATTAATTCTCGATTTCAAAAAGACAAATGTTACTACTTACGTCGCAAAGATTTTGTAATCTTTGTTTAGTTTATAAAATTACTATATCCAAACAGCAATAGTATACATTAAAATAAAAATTTTGGGTCAAAAGTTCTCTTATCTTGATTCTGTCATCTTATTGATAACGTGATAACTCATCATAATAATCCTTCAATATCTTTGTCTTTTGTTCTTTAAAATAGTTATTGCAATCCATCTTTTTTGCAAATTATTTCGACTTCTTTAGCAAACTAATTCAATAAATTTTCATATCTTAATTCGCACAGTCTATTCAAAAGATTACTAGTTCTTTGTAAGTCATTACTGGCATGTTGTAAAGTTTCAGAAAATAACTAATAATTTGAAACAGTGACTAAATATCTGAAAATGATTTAGTTGATCATATTTATCAAAAATCTAATTATGAATCTTATGCATCATGCAGACAATTCAACTAGTAACAGAAACAAATATAAAAATGTTAGAAATTTAACTATAAAAATTCCAAATTCCAATTTTTGATGAAGAATTTATAAACTGGATTAGTTTTATAGATTTGTTGACAAAAATATTAACTTTCGGGTTGTGCAAAAGTTTTACTATTTGAATTGATTACTAGAGCTTGTAGAATCTCTTAAAGCGTTAGCTTACAAGTTGAAGTTCAATACCTCTCGATAACAAAAGTAAACTTAAGCGTTAAAATTATTAATTTTTTTAAAAAAATATTGTTTTGCTTTCTGTTGCGCTCGTTGGCGGCCCCCCTGGCTCGGGGGCCCCGTATTTTTGATACGGCTGATACGGCGGTAGTTACGCCCTTGATTATTCAACCAATGCAAAATATAAATTTTATGGGTAGATTCTACATTTTACATAGAGATAACACTGTATTAAACCTTGATAGGTTTATAAAACATGATGTAATTACCAAAATAATTCTTACGATATAAGAGTTTGTGGTAAGAGGGTAAAAATTTAGGGTGATATTTGTGTATGGCATCGGGCCTTAAGGCAAATTGCTCGAACTTCCTGTACCGTAACGACCGGGCATATTATACAAAACACACACACACATCCATTTTTTCTGAGGTATGCCAAAATGTTCAGAAACCTCTGAAACGTGAAGATATGCAAAAATTTTCATTCTCGATTTTCGGCCCATTACTATAACTACCCAAAAAAAGCAGTTTTACAAGAAAAAAATTAAATTAATAGTTATTCTAACTCTTATGATGAATTCTTGTGACAAAGTTTCATGCGTGAGTTGTTTTTATAGATTTGTTGACAAAAATATTAACTTTCGGGTTGTGCAAAAGTTTTACTATTTGAATTGATTACTAGAGCTTGTAGAGAATAGAATCTTAAAGCGTTAGCTTTACAAGTTGAAGTAAGTTCAATACCTCTCGATAACAAAAGTAAACTTAAGCGTTAAAATATTAATTTTTTTAAAAAAATATTGTTTTGCTTTCTGTTGCGCTCGTTGGCGGCCCCCCTGGCTCGGGGCCCCGTATTTTTGATACGGCTGATACGGCGGTAGTTACGCCCTTGATTGATTATCAACCAATGCAAAATATAAATTTTATGGGTAGATTCTACATTTTACATAGAGATAACACTGTATTAAACCTTGATAGGTTTATAAAACATGATGTAATTACCAAAATAATTCTTACGATATAAGAGTTTGTGGTAAGAGGGTAAAAATTTAGGGTGATATTTGTGTATGGCATCGGGCCTTAAGGCAAATTGCTCGAACTTCCTGTACCGTAACGACCGGGCATATTATACAAAACACACACACACATCCATTTTCTGAGGTATGCCAAAATGTTCAGAAACCTCTGAAACGTGAAGATATGCAAAAATTTTCATTCTCGATTTTCGGCCCTTACTAAACTACCCAAAAAAAGCAATTAACTTTTACAAGAAAAAAATTAAATTAATAGTTATTCTAACTCTTATGATGAATTCTTGTGACTATTCTAACTCTTATGATGAATTCTTGTGACAAAGTTTCATGCGTGAGTTGTATCCACTGCAAAATATTCGCATAAAATATGTATTTGAAAAACAAGTTTTATTCACTTTTATTGCAATGATTGTATTTTAAAAAAAATAGTCTGATTAAAATCAATTCAACATCGACTGAAATAACAATCAAAGAAGGTGATATACACAAAAAGGTGTCAAAATCAGGACGGCAATTTTTAGTTAAGCAAATCCGGAACCGTGGGATGAGGGGCTTATGCTAAATTTAAGTATACAATAATTTTTTTTATCTATATGTTGTTTTCACTTTTGTTCCATGTATAAAATGCTATTCAAGTTTCTTCATTAACTTAAAAAATAGCGTATGTTAGTCAGGATTTTTGATAATTTTCGCGAAATTGAAAATAAAAGATCTAATTTATTAGCTTTATTAATTTTCAGATATTTGATGGGTAGTTGATAATTTTATTATCAAGTATTTGCAAAGATTAAAGAGCCTATACTTTTTGGAAACCCGTGACTATCCGAGACAAATATTGTTTTTAGAAAAACCCGGGAAACAAGTGGAATTCCGGGACAGTCCCGGCCAAACCGAGACCTATGGTCACCTTATAAGAATTGATAAAATATTTTGTATATTATGTTCAAAAATACTTATTTATATTATGGTTTTTAATTTTGTTGTTGAACTTAATAATTTCGCTGCATCGCATTGATTGAATAATGTAGCTACTATTATATAAAACCTTTTTAAAATTTGAAATAATATGGTGGATCCTTTTGCCCCCTGGCAATCTCTTTATACCCCATCTATGTAATAAAATTTTCAAAAAACAACAAAAACACATTTCTACAGTGATGAATTAGCTGGGAGTTTTAGTGATCATAGTTGTTTGTTTGATATGCGGTATTCGTTGTGGAATAATTAGTTTAGTTTTAACAATATGATTGCCCAAAATTAAATTGGACCTTTGTGTTCCGCCTATATCTTATAAATTTAACTTTACATATATCAGAATTAAAGCAATGAAAAAAACTTGAATCACTTTACCTCTGAATTCCAAGATTCTCTCCTCTTATTGTTTCTGTTATTATCCATAGTAACGGTCATTTTGACAAAGCTAGAGCGATTCCGGACGATAAGTCAACAGAATATGTATCAACAATTTTTAATTATATCCTATTACAGTATTTAACTTTAACCTATCTTCATATTTCATTTCGTTTTTCTCTTCAACACTTTTAAATAATTATGCCCATAATCTGCAAAGAAAAATCATACTATTAAATAGATGTTAAAATAGTTTCATCATATCTAGTAAAATATTCCTGTAAGAAATATTTGAAATAGTCAAATTTCTTATCATTTATTAATAAATAGACGTAGAAAAAAGTTCCATCATATCTATTAAAATATTCCTGTAAGAAATACTTCAAATATTCAAATTTATTATTATTATTAATGAAATTAAAAAAGTTAATATAAACGAAAAGAAACTTTTATTGTAACTTAGTCACATTCCAAATTATCGATGTTTTCTCAAATAATTATGACGTTTTTCGCGAGATAACACATTCTATAACGTTGTCAAGCCAAACAATATTAATATTTATAATACTTGCTGGAATCTTCAACCTGGAATACATAGTAGCACATAATAGCTTCAAAATCTTATATCAATAAAAACATATTTGTTTGCATTTCAATTTTCTGTTACTGTTTTTTATGATACAGTCTTGTAATTTTGAGGTTTTGGCCTATCATGGCAGATTTCGGTTCATTTACAACAAACCTTCTGCTTTATTTTCTTATCAGATTTACACGGTTGCTAGACAAAACATATAAATATGAATATAAAATCATACAGAAGAAACAGGGGAATGGCATTTAGGCGCATAGGCGGCAATAAGTTCGATGATTTCTTATTAGATTTTGATTCCGATGAGGATGTGATGTGACGACGAATAAATATTTTTTATAAAAATAAGAAAAAACTAGTGGGCGCATGCATCGTGCCTTAAGGCAAATTGTTTTTTTTTAACAAGATTAACATTTTTGAAAAAAATTTACTCTGAAAAAATTAGATTTTTGAGAAACTATACATTTTTGACAAAAATTTACTTTTTTTTTTAAAAAAAAAAGAATTTTTGAAAAAAAATTTATTTTGAAATATTTTAGAAATTCAGAACATTTTTTCAAAGCAATCGTACTGCTTTAACTGCATAGAGACGAAATATCGAAGCGCGTAAGCGCTGCGTCGCCGTCTAACGGATAAACATTGGTACAAAACCCATAGGAATGTAAACAAAATTTATACTTATTGTTAAAATATCTGATAATTTGATGTGCATATGTCTAATGATCATTGTTGACCGCCAAATGGCATTTTTTTAAACTTTTTTTACTAGAGCTCCGAAACCGCTAGACCTGCCTTCATAAAAATTTGATCAGTTTTTCATCTTGTTAATACAAGTAGAATGTTTTTTGAATTATTCAAATCGGACACTCCGTTCTCTTAAAAGCTAAGTTACCGTTTTTGGAACTTTTTGCCCCATATCTTCGGAACGGCTAGACCTGCCTTCGCCAAAAACTAATCAGCACGTCTCCTTATCAATATAAATCGAATGTTTTTTGAATTATTCAAATCGCTTCATCCATGTTCCCGAAATCGTCGACGAAAATTTGTATCCGCACACATATACACACACGCACACACACACATACATACACATACATCCATTTTTTCTAAGGTATGCCAAAATATTCAGAAACCTCTGAAACGTAAAGATATATACAAATTTTCATTTTCGATTTTTTTGCGATTACTATAACTTACCCTACGGTAAGTTAATAAAATTATTTAATTTTTTTAACAATTTTTTTTATTTCATTTGTACATAGGCTTATAAATACTTATTTATTTTGTAATTTTTTTTTTGATTTAAAACAAAAATTCGGCCCATGGAGGGTTGAAATAAAATCAGTTAATAAACATAATATGATATGCGTACATGTTGCTATTTTAATTTAAAATAAAATGAATAAAAGATTCTAAACACATCATTCTCAAGAATATATCATTAACTTCTCGTAAGATATGTATGTATGTTTGGATACAATTTTTCGTCGACGATTTTGGACGTACGGATCAACCGATTTAAATGATTCTAATAATTAATAATTTATATATGAATAGAATATACACACGTGAACTGGTAGACAGACACATAAAATAGAATACTTATTTATCTATGAAAATAGATAAGTGCGCAAGTAGAAAGATAGAAAGATAGAAAAGTAGCAAGGTAGACAGGCTGACAGCTAAACTGGCAGGAAATACAAAAGTAGTAATAGATAGCAAACAGACATGTAGGTGCCGTAGGTACGAAGACATAGAGATAGCTAGGACAATAGGCAGCGCTAGTAAGAAGATAGGTAAAAAGGTAGACCAACTGACTGGTAGACTGTTGGATTGGTAGACAGATAAACAGATAAAGAAGTGAAGAGATAGATAGGTAAATAGATGAACAGCGTAGGCTAACAATGGTAACATAAGTGAACCATAATTTTTTAATTATTCGAATCGGATGCCCCGTTCTCGCAAAAACCGAGAACTTTTTGCTCTGTATCTTCGAAACGGCCGAACCTGTCTCTGCTAAAAACTACCAAGAACGTCTTCCTACCAATAGTAATCGCATTTTTTAAAGGTATTTTTTCGATTCTTGGACGATTACTATAACTTACCCTACAAAAAGTTAATAAGGTAAAATGTAAAATATTATTTTTTCTTGTATGTAGATGTATATGTATATGTATATATATATATATATATATATATATATATATCTTGTATACATATGTACCTAATGTAAATTTTTTTGTATGTATATTTAAAAACATAAAAAAATATTTATACTTCTGAATAAAAACGATAAAATAATTTAAAATTTCTTTTCCAATAAAATAATTTCAGATGATTGCCATTTTTTTGGAAAATATTAAAAATAGGTATGCAATATTAATCTGTTAATCTTATGTTAAATCTTTAACATATTGTTAACAGTTAATAATTAACAAATATAATTAAATCCTGATTTCTGCATAAACAATTCATTACAAAGAAATATGTACGAACTTAATTTTTTTTTCAATAACAATAACTATGGAAGAATCGATGCAATAAATTTCCTTAATTTTCTCGACGCAAGTTGTATTTCATACTTTCAGAGCTAACCGAATGCTCGATTCGAAACAATTCTAATCAGCCGACATTATACTTCTAGCATTCGTTTTAGAGAAAGTTCGATTCAGAATATCGCTATTTGTAATAATATACTACAAAGTTTGTACCTACTACAAATTTAAACTACAAAAAATTTACCTTTGTATTATAGATTGAGTCAAGGAAGCCAGCATTTTTCAAACTACGCCGAAGGAATTAAAATTTTTCTTTTCTTATATGAAGATATGAAACAAAAGAAATAACATATTTTTATGAAAGAATTCTCTGAACGGCTTTGCGGGAAAATTTCTAGACTCTAAAATTTTTATCAGAATGCTACAGGTTTGATGGGTTTGACATTGTATACATAATTAGCAATAGTCGCTAAACTTATTGTTAGTATCAATGCACGCGTTTTTTTAAGTATACAGAAAAATATCATAATTAGCAATAGTCGCTAAACTTATTGTTAGTATCAATGCACGCGTTTTTTTAAGTATACAGAAAAATATTCTTTCATTTGGGTCCAATATTTTATTCATTTTTTCTTGCTTTATGATAGATTTTCAGATGTTGGCAGAAAATGATCAGTAATTGAATTGCTTAAATTGAAGTACGCGCGTCACGTCGATAGAAAGGGTATATTATCATCTTTGCAAGTGTTTGGCTTAAAGGCAATGGCATTTAAATATTATTCTGTACTCTATTACATAAATACTCAGATTGATCCTGTCACGAATAGTGCAGAGTTGCACGTAGAAAGGAGCGGTCAATACCAGACTAGGGCTGAGATAAATCACGTTTTTCTATTTTAATTCTGAATACGATACATAGTAATGTTGATGTCAAATATCAATTTTGATAGCACTACATGGCGTCGCCGATAACTTTTTCGTTCTACAAAAGTACGTGTAAGCAAAAATGTAATATATCACGTATATTCGTTCCATATTCGTTCTACGCGAAGTATTCGATTTATTACAATAATGTCGGTCAGATATAGCAACTTTTAGGTTGTCAAATATCTCCCTTCCGCTTTTTTGCTCTTGGTTTATAATACAAAAAGGCGGAAGGGAGATATTTGACAACCTCATATATATATATATATATATATATATATTAAATTTTTTATATAATTTTGATGTTGAATATGTGATATTCAGTTTTCAGGCAATACATCAATTAAAAATTTGTATGACTTTTAAAACATTTTTATTTTTTCCATACGTTTCGACACATAGTTTGTGTCATCTTCAGTGGACTCTGTTTTGAAGGCACAGATAAAAATTATTATTAAAACTAATATATAAGAAGTGATATGGTATGAACTTACATGTAATTGTAATAATCCTAAGTATTTCCTAATTATAATTGTTCACAATGCACAAGGAAACCAATTCTTGTCACAATTTAAAGTGACAAGAATTGGTTTCATTGTGCATTGTGGACAATTATAATTAGGAAATACTTCCCGAAATCGTCGACAAAAATTTGTATCCGCACACACACACACAATACATCCATTTTTTCTAAGGTATGCCAAAATATTCAGAAACCTTTGAAACGTAAAGATATATAAAAATTTTCATTTTCGATTTTTTTGCGATTACTATAACTTGCCCTACGGGAAGTTAAAAAACTCATAAAAAATAACAAAATATAAAAAACAACGATAAATTTCATATATTCAACAATATTTTTAGAAAATTATTAAGAACAAAAAAATAAAACTGCAAGATTATAAATAGCCAGGTGCCTTGTGCGTTTTTATAAATAAAACATTATGATTACTTGAACTGAAACATCTTGAACCACGATATGTTATTTTATATGTGATATTGATTATATTAACGCCTTTTGAAAGTCGACTTTGCTACATTTTTTTGCAAACAGTCGTT